ACCCCCTTCAGGAGATTCATACCTCCGGAATATGATGATGGTACTATGAGATGTTTCAAAATGAATTGGCTTTCTGATTTGCCAAAAAAGAGTGAGTGAGTGAGTAGGGTTTAACGCCGCTTTTAACAGTATTCCAGTTACATCACGGCGTGTCAGCTTAATGTGGGAGGAAAGACCGAAGTGATGCAGGTCTTAGACGTTTACCACTTCGGTGAAACCCACGAGCACGGGTATGGTGCTGACAAACCTAGAAACATAATCAGGGCGAACCGGGATTCGAACCCACAATTATAGGTTTCTGGCGTGTCCAAGGGACGCAACTCTGCACAGCGAATCGCGGCGCCTTAGACGACTGGGCCACCCGTGCCCCCTTTTTGCCAAAAAGAAAGCATATATGTAGAAATATAGTAAAACGTAGCTGTCGTTTTTCTAACCTGCCGAATATGTTACTTTTATTAGTTATGGCCAAAAAACCTCAGCGTAGATCAATGCTGGCGAAAGTAACTTAGTAATGTTCTGTTCTTTTGTAGACGAACCATTTATAGAACCATATATTGTATGAGTATTTATTCATCATGAATTTCGGAACCTTAGTATGAAACAAAACTTTATATTAGGTTGTTGACAAAGGCGAAGAATGTAGGAATGTTTGTTATAGTAAACTAGGCGACTATGCTTGTCGTAAGAGGCGACTAACGGGATCGGATGGTCAGGCCCGCTGACTTGGTTGATACATGTCATCGTATCCCAATTGCGTGGATCGATGCTCATGATATCAAACACTGGACTGTCTGGTCCACGCTCGATTATTTACAATCCGCTACCATATAACTGTACTATTGCTAAGGGCGGCGTTAAACAAACAAACAAACAACACTTGCCTTTTGTAGTTACAGAACGTAGTATCGCCTCGTGATTCTAGACTAACAGTATATCAGCAACTAGACCTGTAAACTTTTAAGTCTTCCTTTGTGCACCGTATAACGATAACCGTATGTCCATAACTGTTTCAAACAGCGGGCAAGAGAAAATAAACACCCATGGTTATTTGATGGTGATGTGTTTGATACGGGTATCATAGGCGACATTGCACCTTAAAGGGAATCAACACTCCAAGTTTGAAAGTACTGAAACATGGATCGGCTTTTTCTCCGCGGATTTAAAATTTGCTTTTTTATAATTTCGACTGGTTTATACTTTCTTTTACCCGACAGCTTATGTTGTACAGGCTCTTCACATATCCATTTCTTAAGGCTTGATTGTGTGGTTAGGTGTGTCCAAGCCCCGGACACGTGGCAGAGATGGGTCCCCCCTCCCGAACCCTCGCCTCGTGAGTCACACCCTCCACGCCAGTGACGAGAATGTCCCGGATGCACCGTCCATGAGTCACATGGTGATGCAGTGGGGGCAGTTTATAGACCATGACATCACCAGTACCCCAATACACACAGGTAGGTCCGTTCATAGACCATGACCAGTACCCCAATACACACAGGTAGGTCAGTTCATAGACCATGACATTACCAGTACCCCAATACACACAGGTAGTTTCGTTCATAGACCATGATATCACCAGTACCCCAATACACACAGGTAGGTCCGTTCATAGACCATGACATTACCAGTACCCCAATACACACAGGTAGGTCAATCATAGACCATGAGATCACCAGTACCCCAATACACACAGGTAGGTCCGTTCATAGACCATGACATTACCAGTACCCCAATACACACAGGTAGGTCCGTTCATAGACCATGACATTACCAGTACCCCAATACACACAGGTAGGTCCGTTCATAGACCATGACATTACCAGTACCCTAATACACACAGGTAGGTCCGTTCATAGACCATGACATTACCAGTACCCCAATACACACAGGTAGTTCCGTTCATAGACCATGACATTACCAGTACCCCAATACACACAGGTAGGTCCGTTCATAGACCATGACATTACCAGTACCCCAATACACACAGGTAGGTCAGTTCATAGACTATGACATTACCAGTACCCCAATACACACAGGTAGGTCCGTTCATAGACCATGATATTACCAGTACTCCAATACACACAGGTAGGTCAGTTCATAGACCATCACTAATACCCCAATACACACAGGTAGATCAGTTCATAGACCATGACCAGTACCCCAATACACACAGGTAGGTTAGTTTATAGACCATCACCAGTACACCAATACACACAGGTAGGTCCGTTCATAGACCACGACATTACCAGTACCCCAATACACACAGGTAGATCAGTTCATAGACCATGACCAGTACCCCAATACACACAGGTAGATCAGTTCATAGATCATGACCAGTACACCTAATACACACAGGTAGGTCCGTTCATAGACCATGACATCACCAATACCCCAATACACACAGGTAGGTTAGTTTATAGACCATGACATCACCAGTACCCTAATACACACAGGTAGGTCCGTTCATAGACCATGACATCACCAGTACCCCAATACACACAGGTAGATCAATTCATAGACCATCACCAGTACACAAATACACACAGGTAGGTAAACTTTACAGTCGTGCACAGAGGGGAGTCCAGTTTATAACAAATAGGCTTTACAGCAGTTCTAGTCTGTCACACAGATCTAGTGCAGCCCGTGCAAGTCTATGATAAGTGACACCTCTAGCTTACTGCAGTTCTGAAAATGAAGAGAGTTTCTGGGCTCCTTTTTATTATTATTTTTAGATAATTTAACAAATGTTTTTGTGTAAAATATTTTCATTTCAGAGACAAGAAGTAAGTCTTCATCAGTATGGTCGGTGTCTCTAAAGCTTGTGTTACGGCTTGCCTAATCCATTGTTTGATGATATTCCCGAGTTCTGCATTGAGTGAGTTGGTTTAACGCCGCTTTGAACAGTATTCCAGTTATATCACGGCGTGTCAGCTTAATGTGGGAGGAAAGCCCAAAATGATACAGCTCTCAGACGTTTACCACTTCGGTGAAACCCACGAGCACGGGTATGGTGCTGACAAACCAAGAAACATGTTACCTCACTGCCAAGTATATCGTGCCATACCTCACTTACTTGTGACGTAATTTCTTTGTTTCCCCGCTCGAGTTGCTGAACTGTTGGCATTACATTTGCAACATACCAACCTCAATTCTGTATCTCGACGTAATGATGTAAGACGACATTTTCTGGATATTTTACGATAATTTCCGAATGAAATAGACCTAGGGGGAATAAATGCCTAACTGTGGTATTGTTACCGATACGGACCAAAGCACGCATGCAAATGATATACCTTCAATGTAATAATGTGTGCGGTAAATACAATCAGATGTTCACCGGTCCCTGGGGCGACACGGGCCGGTGTACCCTCCATGTTAGTTTATGCCCCAGAGCCTGACGGGAACATAACGGAACATAAACTAACATAAGAGTGATCATGAACCAGTGTCTCCCTCGAGATCGATCGAAAACCTACAATATACTCGCCGCGAAACGAGAACCACGTGAGTATGGTTTTACCCCGCCCTTTAGCAATATTCTAGCAATATCAGGGCAGGGGACATCAGAAATGGGCTTCACACATTGTACCGTACCCACTTCGGGAATCGAACCCGAGTCTTCGGCGTGAGGAGCGAACGCTTTAACCACTGGGCTACCAGACCGCCCCTGCGAAGAATAGAAACATATAGAGAAGTATTACGTTAAGAAGAGACGTTTCCAATGTGTACCACTAACAAAACTAACAATCAGTCAAGTGTTACTACAGAGTGTCTTTATTCTTATCATGATATGATGTACGTGATTTCCAAACTTTACAAGCTAATCCTGCAAGAGACAAATAGTGCATCTCGTATCATGGATCTATGACGTCACATGTGAAGCGTTCATGACCGTCGTTCACACAACATACCAGTTTTATTCGTTTGTGCATCGAACCAATCTAATATCCCTTGAATATGAGTAACTCTTCATATATTAACCAACATGTATGGTATTCGCGTTTCTTTTGTCGGTGAGTATATATCCTTTTGCATGCTGTCATTGCAGGGCTGAACGGTTCTATTATAAGATGCTGTATCGACGATATCCCAGCCGACACCCCAGCGGACGTTATCAAGCAGATCGCTGACAGGTATTGTTTAACGCCGCACTCAGCAATATTATAGCTATGTGACGGCGGACTGTAAATAATCGAGTCTGTACCAGATAATCCAGTGATCGATATTGTGAGCAACGACCCACGCTGAGGGGTACTACGAAACGCCATCATCCAAGTCAGGGAGCCTGATCACCCAATCCATTTGGTCGGCTCAAGACCAGCATAGGTTGCTAGGGGCCAATTCCAATCCGGAATCCCACAGCGTGAATTCGACCCGTGAAGGTCCGGGGTAGAATAGGTCTTCAGCAGCCCATGCTTGCTGTAAAAGGCGACTATGCTTGTCGTAAGAGGCGACTAACGGGATCGGGTGGTCCGGCTTTCTGACTTGGTTGATGCATGTCATCGTATCCCAACTGCTTGGATCGATGCACATGATGTCAATCACTGGATTGTCTGGTCCAGACTCGATTATTTACAGACCGCCGTCATATAGCTGGAATATTGCTGAGTGCGGCGTTAAACAACAAACAAACAAACACGGCGTGAATTCAGGTACATGTATGTATGATAATGATATAGCTGGTTACCAGTATCGAATTCTTTTCCAACTTAAGACAAAGGTAAAAGATACTCAGTGCCATTATTGAAGGGGCACCTAGCTCTGTCGGGTGTCAAACATGAACATATGCCAACAAGCGTCAATAGGTCTGAGTATGTTGACAGTGTGAAGAACATGTTGTTTATGCCTATGTCACACTGATTGGATGTTTTGTATCGCCCAACATGATGGACACACCAGATATTGATCTACACGCCCGAAATATTTTTTCAGACATTTATCGTCATTACACCTCCAATGTCATTTCAAGACTCCCCTTGTATTCGTCGGTAGTGTGATTAAACATGAAACATTTCTGTTGCAGGGATGTCTGCCTCCCCATCCCCATCCCCCCGAACGATCCCAAGTTCCGGAACAGGACATGCTTAAACTTCGTACGCTCTATTCAAGTTGCCAACGCCGACTGCCAATTTGGTAAGACTTATGTCAAGCAGTTTTCGAAATAGCTGCATCTTCCCGAGGCAAGAGAGTTAATTGACTATAAAAGTCCAGTTTCCACCCTTGCCGAATAAGGCTGGAATTCCTGGGCTCGATCGTAGCGCCACCAGTGGTTATTATGAGTTATGTCCCTTCTATGCCTCTCCTATGGACCAATCAGATTCCACCCCTTGTATCACTTGCATTTGCTTCAAACAAAATGGCGGCGCCCAGTCAAGACGATCTGATCGATAATCAAGAACTTCATTGTTATAAAACGGATCTTACATCGCGAAGTGCATCAAATCACGTGAGCACCTTGATTAAAAACATGAAATGATTTGGAAAATATCTGCTGATATCGAGTTGGCGATGCACATGCTTTGCAAATCCTGCAATCGATCGAAATCTACACGGCAGTTTACGAACCGGATATCGATTTTATTGGGCGATTTTGATTGGATTATGCATAGACTCGTTAGTCCAGCCAAAAAGGAACTCCATAATACCAGCCTATTTCGGCAAGGATGGAAACTGGACTTTTAAAGTCAGTTAACTCTCTTGCCTTGGAAAAGGGTGAAATAGCTGCTTCCCGCCAGCGAAATGCCTGTGACTTTTAAATTGGGCTGGTAACATTTCTGTAAAACTGGTCCGACTATCTAGTTGAACTCTAGTCAATACTTAGTCATTTCTACGAATACAAGTCAGTTAAGGTGTCATTTAATGTCAAAGTCTATTGTCAGTTTGTTTTCATTTCGTAGCTTACCGGAAACCCACGCACAGATGTAAAGTAGGGCTATTAAAATATGACAAGGGCTTGCAACATTTTTGTGTAAACAAGCCCTCCTTGGCCAGTGAACTTTGAACCTGATTCATACACTAATGTCCAGCCATATTTGGTTATTATGGAATAACAGTTGAATCTTTCTCAACCGGACTCCCAGTAATCCGGATCTCAGTCAAAGCCCAAACAAATATGCGGACAGAAATACTGCTTGTCCGGACCTCCTGCAGTGTGGGTTCCGGGCAGAAATTTCGGGACATTTTATTTTGTAAATGACCCTCCCCTCCCGGCTTGTTTCCCACATCTCACTGTGCTAGTTACAAACGGTATGTGTCTACAACATAGCTTGGATGACAGAATAAACACGCTTGAACATGTGTCTGTAATTCCTATTGACTCAAACGTGTCCGGTCTATACAAGCTTAACGAAAGTTGGATGGTTGGTTTGTTGTTTTACGCCGCACTCAGCAATATTCCAGCTATATGACGGCGGTCTTTAAATAATCGAGTGTGGACCAGATAATCCAGTGATTGATATCATGAGCATCGATACGCCCAATTGGGATCGATGACTTGCTTTAATCAAGTCAGCGAGCCTGACCAACGGATCCCGTTAGTCGCCTCTTACGACAAGCATAGTCGCCTTTTACAGCAAGCATGGGTTGCTGAAGACCTATTCTATCCTGTAATCTTCATGTGTCATAATATAAGGGAATTTGGCCAAGAAGTTTGAAGTTAAACTTAAGCTTGAGGTAATCGATGATCTGATATCGATCAAATATGGTCAAATAGCCAGTTTTTACCAATCTGAACTAGAGTTTTATATTTAGATCTAGACATAAAGATTCAGACTGACAAACAACTCTCCACAAGACTGTATGACAAGAGGGATGACTTCAACTTCCTAATAGTCAACTTTCCCGTAATGTCGAGCAATATTCCACAGCTCCAGCTCTTGGTATCAGCATGCTCTTTCTACCAACATTTTCATACGACTCTTGCTCAAAAGTTGTTTGATCAGGGTTACAACATTCAAGGCGGCAAACATGATGTATGATGCAATCCTCTGTTTTCACTTTTGACCGTATGTTCTCGTTTTGTTTCGGCTGAATACTTTACTTGCCTTTGCATGTGTTTGTGATAAGTGCCATCGGTGGATCAGGATAGGCTCACCTATCACTATTTGATACTGACTCATAGAGACATGCTTATGACATAGTCGGAATCGTACAATGGACTTTGCTTTTAGCAGAGATTTCTCATGATTGTGGAAAGGGGTTTGTCGCATGTTTACATCAGTTATTTTAGATCAAGGTTAGTTCGTAAAGCTGCAGGATAAACAATATTCTCTCCTGTAGCGTATGATCACCCCATTTGAGCGGCCACGATGTTACTTAGAACTGATACGTTTAAGTTAACCTATCACAGTCAATACAAATATGAATCATGAGTTGTTCAATTAATCGCACATTAAATAACTTAATCTTAGATTTCTGTAACTGAATGATGATGATGATGATGATTATTATTATTATTATAATTTATTATTATTATTATTATTATTATCATCATCATCATCATCATCATCGTTGTTGTTGTTGTAGTTGTTGTTATTATTATTATTATTATTATTATTATTTTTATTATTTTTATTATTATTATCATTATTATTATTATCATTATTATTATTATTATTATTATTGGGTATTCAAGTAGGTACAGTTCATGGTGAAGTTCTGGGTTCCATTTTCCACCGGGTACAATAACTGATGCGCATTGTCTGTGTACCATTTATGTCGGCGTTAAAATCTACTCATTCACATCAAACAGAAGAAAAAGTTTATAATTCGGCATTATTGTTGTTATATCTTTTATAACTGGATATTATATCTGTGACAGAGCCGGTGGAGCAGCTGAACCAGATCACCGCCTTCCTGGACGGGTCCATGGTCTATGGATCAACTCGGGAAGAGCAAGAGAAACTCAGACTGCATCGCAATGGTATAGTGCGTGAGTGAGTGAGTGAGTGAGTGAGTGAGTGAGTTGTATTTAACGCCGCTTTTAACAGTATTCCATTCATATCACGGCTTGTCAGCTTAATGTGGGAGGAAAGCCCGAAGTACTACTTCGGTGAAACCCACGGGCACGGGTATGGTGCTGACAAACCAAGAAACATAATCGGGGCGAACCCGGATTCGAGCCCACAATCATAGGTTTCTGGCGTGCCCAAGGGACGTAATTCTGCACAACGAATTGCGGCGCCTTAGACGACTGGGCCCCCGTGCCCCCCACAATGGTATACCGGCAACTACATTATGAATTGTCAATGCAGGGGAATAACTAGCCTCGATTTTTTGCCGAAACAGATTCCATTTGGCGTAAAGAGCAAATAGCTGTGGAAATAACATGAAATTATATGAAATCATAAGACTCCCACAATCACCTCGAGCTCTTTATGCCTAACGCCGTTATAGTAGTATCTCCCTTAGGGGTAGGAGTTAGGTTATTGGTAGGGGTAGGGGTAGGGGTGCTTAGATAAAAATATGTTTTTCTATAACCGAGTATCTGTTATATACGACTTTGTTGTAACATTCTTTCACTTTTTGTTTTTCTTCAAGTGTTTATATTTATTATGTTAATTTGTTATATTTGTCAGTGTTAAGACATCTAACATCACCAACTAAAACAATAACTGAAAAGGACATTTCGTTTGATAAACATCAATAATATGCCGAGTTTAAGTCCCTTTTTAGGCGCGGGGATTAACCGCTATAACACCATGTACTAATTGACTCACATTGTCATTCACAGGCCTGTTAAAATTTCACGATCTGCAGCTTCTACCCGAATCAAAGTTGAAAAACTGCGTTCCTGGAAAACCACAGCACTTTTGCTTCATGGCGGGTTGGTATGATTCAAATAAACCTCACGTATCATGGCCTGAAATAAAAATTGCCAGTTATTTCATCAACGGCATGTCTTTTGATTCGCTAATCAATTATTTTTATGCTGCCATAAATCGGTTATGTCACGCCCACTACTGTTTCCTGATTGGCTGTTAATAGGATGGGCGTGGCTATAGTCGCTTCATTGCGCTGAACGATGTCACTAATTTAGTATCGTTGTCTACTAAATTCTGTGTTAAATAAGCAGTCTGTGAAGTTGTTATCGTTGACATATTTACGAGAATCGACTTCAGTAGGGTTGGTCACGTACATGTGACACTATTCTTAAAACATGTGTACATGTTGGATAGCATATTGCATTTAATCGCAGTGTAGGAATTTTAACACTCGTGGCTTGTTATTTTTATTTTTGGAAGCGAATTAGTACCACAGTCTATTTTCTATCATTTACGTAGATAATACTTTCATCTACGAAGATGATACTTTTTCTTAGACTGTGGCACTAATACGCTTCCATAGTTATTGCCATCTGACCAACTTCGGCTCACCACCCAGCCTGGGATGTTACCGAATATGGATATAGAATTGCACTCCCTTCTGGTTAGGTTCTTTAAATAGAACATGCGTATTTCTTCACGACAGTTCATTTCTTCAAACCAAACACGGAAACATTAAAACTGGATATTCCCAAATATTAATTCTACGCCATTGCCGGAGATATAGACATATATTAAGTTGAGATCATTTTATAATTATTTAATTCATTTATTAGGTGATGAGCGAGTTAATGAGCATATGGGTCTCACCAGCCTGCATACAATATGGATGAGAGAACACAACCGAATTTGCCGAATCCTGAATCGACTTAACCCTCACTGGGACGATGACCGAATGTTCCTGGAGGCCAGGAAGATTATAGGAGCAATGATCCAGAAGATCACTTATGATGAGTTTCTTCCAGTCCTCCTCAACAAGCCGACCAGAAAATCCTTCAACCTTGTCTCAAACCAGTGGGGCTATCGCAACGTTTACAATGAGAATGTAGACCCCAGCATTAGAAGCGCTTTTGCTACCGCAGCCTTTCGTCTAGGACATACTCTCATCCGCGGAACATTCTCAAAACTTGTGACACCGTTCGAAATATCTGGAGAAGCAACCTTGTTGACTCTTTTCGGAAACACTTCTTTCATCTTAGACACGAGAGGTCAGTCTATCCCGTGGCTGCTTGGCGGAATGACCAGAGATCATTCTAGAAAGTTTGATCGTTTCCTAACACCGGATGTGACGGATAACTTGTTCTTGGACAAGGATGGTAACAGTCTGGATTTGGCATCTCTGAACATCCAGAGAGGGAGGGATCATGGGATGCCAGGCTACAACGCCTGGAGGAAATGGTGCAACCTACCGGAAGCGGAGAACTTTGGAACTGGAAAGGGTGGGCTTGTAGATCACCCAAGTGATGCAGCTCGAATACTCGGAACCTTATACAGGTAAATCATTCGGCAGCATCTCAATGGAAGGATTTAATTGTAAATACAAGCGACCAAAACCTTTCGGTTATCATTAGAAATAAATCAAAGGAGTGCATTGTACTATATCATTATCACTATCAAATAGTGTTATCACGGTATCACGAAATATGAACGTATCCTGCCCCACCGATGGCACCCGTCACAAACACAAGCAAAGGCAAGTCATTCAAACCATTCTTGTTATAGAGTCGGAATCGTACAATGGAGATTTGTCGCTTTCATCTACACATAAGCATACAATACGAGAAGGTTTCATACATAAAAACATGTAAATATGCCTCGAAAACAGTATACTGTATAAGGTATAGCCATTTTAAAAAAAATAGTATTTTGGGGGTAATGTCTTCATGACAATAGTAATACATCTTTCCGAAGCAAGGGAATTAACTGACTTTAAAAGTACAGTTTCCACTTTTTAAGTCAGTTAACTCCCTTGCCTCGGGAAGATACATTTATAGGGCAACCCTTTCAATTTCATGCTGCATTTTTCACATCCTATCATGATTCAGCCACATGATCATTTGTTGAATGTGTACTTACGTTTCAGGGTGCATTGGCGCCTACCGTAGACATTTGTCAAAACTAAACCAACGTCATATGTTAATGTGTCCTTGAGGAGCGGGATATGTGTACATATATAGAAGGTGCTTAACATTTTTACGACCGCCTCCGTGATCTAGTGGTAGAGAGTCCGCCTGGAGAGCCGAAGGTCCGGGGTACGATCCCCGGTCGCGTCATACCAAAAGTATGGTACTTGATGTTACCATGGCACTTAGGGGCTAAAAACAAGGACCGGTCGGCTCGGAGTCCGTATACTGTGTCTGAGGGGGTATTCATGTTAAACTGCGACATGGTATCTCAGTGGGCTTGCACTATCTATCGGCATCAGTCCGGACTGGCAAAAGCAGCCATCCACACACGTGCATGCACGTCACTATATAAGTGCAATAATCTTGGACGCGACTTTAAGCCAATTTCACCTCACCACACCTACAGGGAGATTGATATCTGGTCACTGCATATTCAGTCGCCAATGCTTGTGTCGTAATTCTTCACATGCTTGGCGCATTTGCATAATTTCTGTAACGCTATGCTTATCACTGTGGAGTGAACTAGACGGGTTTTACGTTGCTTTTAACGATAGTCCAGCAATATATCGGCCGTGTACACCAGAAATTGACTCATATATTAATTGACTCGAACCCAGGCTTTCGGCGTCAAGAGCGAACGCTTGCACCACTTGGCTACCCATCGCACTAATACACTGTATAACATGATATCACGTTTATGGACACAAATGTTGAAGTCGTGTTCTGTACATGTACACAAACTATGCACTGAGGCATGGTACCGATGAGGTTGCCAAGCAACCAGAACCCTGCCTGACAGATTATAACCTTACGTTCACTGTTCCCAGTCACCCGGACGACATCGATCTGTTCCCTGGTGCCATCAGTGAACGCCCGCTTCCTGGTGGTGTGGTCGGAGCAACCATCGCCTGCATCATTGGCAATCAGTTCCAGCTTCTCAAAGAAGGAGACAGGTTTTGGTACGAGACAGGGTTGGAGCCAGTCCGGTTCTCTGTAGGTGAGACTTTAGGATGCAATGTTTTACTCATCATCGTTGTGCCTTTGCACTACAACAGGTTACCCTAACGATCCAATGTGTATGGTGTCCGAGAGGGGACATCGCTTTCTCGCCCTTAAGTACGGCCGCGAGAAAGCGGTACAAAAATACCACGAGACGATAAAGCGATAACACGAGGCGAGAAAGCGATAACACGAGGCGATAAAGCGATAACACGAGGCGAGAAAGCGATAACACGAGGCGAAAAAGCGAAAGAGCCATAAAGCGATAGAACGAGGCGAGAAAGCAGTAGAACCGATACAAGAAAGCGATAGAACGATACGAGAAAGAGATAGAACGAGAAAGCGACAGAGCGAGTAAGCGATATTTCCCATAATGCCTACATTAAAAAGGTTTTTGCTGATATTCAGTGATATTCGGCTCGTGTTATTGATTTTTCGCCTCGTTCTATCGTTTTATGGCTCTTTCACTTTCTTGTCTCGTGTTATCGCTTTTTCTTCTCGTGTTATCGCTTTTTCTTCTCGTGTTATCGCTTTTTCTTCTCGTTTTATCGCTTTCTCGTCACGTGTTATTGCTTTCTCGTCTCGTGGTATCGCTTTCTTGTCTCGTGTTATTGCTTTCTCGTCTCGTGTTATCGCTTTCTCGTCACGTGTTATTGCTTTCTCGTCTCGTGGTATCGCTTTCTTGTCTCGTGTTATTGCTTTCTCGTCTCGTGGTATCGCTTTCTCGTCACGTGTTATTGCTTTCTCGTCTCGTGGTATCGCTTTCTTGTCTCGTGTTATTGCTTTCTCGTCTCGTGGTATCGCTTTCTCGTCTCGTGTTATTGCTTTCTCGTCTCGTGTTATTGCTTTCTCGTCTCGCGGTATCGCTTTCTCGTCTCGTGTTATCGCTGTATTGCTTTCTCGTGGGCGCAATTGAAGGCGAGAAAGCGATGCCCCTTCTCGGCCACAATAAATGTGCGCCGCAGCGTAATATTACATATATCGTTAAGTGGCAAAGAAGACGAGCTGACGTAGGGATTTCAACTTCTATAATCTTTCTGTGGAACGTTTCGGTACGGATGCTTTTTATTCTTATATTCCACAAGACCGCCTCCGTGGTGTAGTGGATAAGTTCGCCTTCCCGGGGGCGGCCGCCTCCTACCAAAAGACGTTAAAAGATGGCAGTCGGCATTAACGGGCTGGTCGGCTCGGAGTTAGTATACTATGTCCGAGTGAGGTATCTCAGATAAGGACAGTAAATCCGTCCACGCATGTGCATGCACGTCGCTACATTAAATGCATGATTTTCTATTCCAATGATTGAGTAAATGGTTTACTTAAAAACTTTCAAGACTTAGTGTTTCATTGATCTACACGTATTTATGTATATATACTGTTTCATACAGGCCAGCTCCACTCTCTCCGCTCAGCCTCGCTCGCCAGGGTTCTCTGTGACAATGCGTTCATGCCCCTCTTACAGCCAAGCGCATTCCGAGTACCGGACTTCATGTAAGTGTGATCCGATTGTTACATGGTTGTTGACGTCACATCGAAGAAATGGGTAGTCCTTAAATAATATATTCATATATTCGGTAGTCCGGGGCTGCGGACTACTCACTAGTCAGTGATAACACGAGATTGGGAATTTTTTTTACTACAGCACTTGCAAAACGTATTTAGATACATGTATTAAACGATCTGGTCATGCATACACTGAAGATGACTTAAGTTACACATAGTTGTATCTTTCTTCAACCATATGAAAAGTCAGAAGGAATGGGTGCATAGTCAGAAAGAAATGCGAACAGTAGTGACTTGTAGTGTAACCATAGAGTTCTTGATAAATTTTTGTCATTAAACAATATATCACTGACTAACCACGGGTCCGGGTAGTCCTGTGGGTACCCGGGTCCTACTCAGTACCCACCCGATCCGGGTTCCCGAGTTACCCGTCCTAGCCCTAGTTGAGAGGTGCGTTGGCCATATTCTCACTCAATTTCGACTGTTTTGCAGCCGTAATCCCCTGGTCCGATGCAGAGATCTGCCAGAGCTTGACTTAACCTACTGGAGGGAACTCCGTCCTTTCTGGAGCACGTGGTCCGTGTGGTCACCGTGCATCGACGGCATGCAACAACGTCAACGGAGATGCAGCTTCAGCTACAGCCGATGTATTGGTCCGGACATTCAACAGCGATCATGCCAGATGTTTCCACATATATCCTTCGCGACATGGACGATGTGGTCAAGCTGGTCATCCTGCACGAATAACCTTCGACAGAGGAGCAGATTGTGCCTGAGGAGTTTAGTTCCTGTCCACACCTGTATTGGAGATACGGCACAAATGATGGGGTGTTTTCAGCAACACAAGTTATGCCCATTTTCTCACTACAGCATAGCGCGCAACGCTTGTCTGAGACAATTCTCAGTTCAGAACTTTGGCTTAGGTGTTTTTTAGTATTTACATTACATGGTGGGGGTACATTATCAGGGAATTAAACAGAATAATCAAACCAAAGACGAGAACATGTGTAGAAATGATATTTGTACATTGAGATTTTTTGCAAATTGGATATTATATTTTTATAACATAATTTATGGTGGTTGATGAACATTAATAAAGCTGATAACTGTCAACGTGTGTGTTAGTCCTCAAGTGTTTTGGGACGGTCGGGTAGCTTAATGGTTAAAAGTGTTTGCTCGTCATGCCGAAGATCCGGGTTCGATTCCCCACATGGTTACAATGTGTGAAGCCCATTTCTGGTGTCCTCGCCGTGATATTGCTACAACATTGCTTCAAGCGTCTAAAAACCTCACTCACTTACGCGTTGTGTTTTCATTCATACAACGAGAGGCATTGCGTGTGTTTCGTATTATGTCTAACATTTTGTTTCTCAGGAATAAAGTGAAATATCCCAGCGAAAGGTTCAGTTCAATTTGTTATTTTGTTATTTTGTATGGAATAATAAGTAAAATGGTTATTCATATTAACGTGATCATATTTAACAGTAGCGTTGACACTTAGCTGAAAATGTGTGTGTGTGTGTGTGTGGGGGGGGCAAATTAACTGTGCACGCCAGAAACCTAATATGACTGTGGGTTTTAATCCCGGTTCTCCCCGATTATGTTTCTTGTTTTGTTTGTTTGATTGTTTAACGCCACAGACATCAAGACCCCAACTATATTTCGGCAATCAGAAAATATTCGAGTCTGGACCAGACAATCCAGTGATTGACATCACGAGCATCGATCTACGCAAATGGGATACGATGACATGCATCAAGAAAGTCAGCGAGCCTGACCACCCGATCCCGTTTGTCGCCTCTTACGACAAGCATAATCGCCTTTTACGGCAAGAATGGGTTGCTGAAGACCTGTTCTACCCCGAATCTTTACGGGTGATTATGTTATCAGATTTGTCAGCACCATACCCGGGCTCGTGGGGTTTCAAACGTCCATGACCTGCATCAGTTCGGACTTTCCTCCAACACCAAGTTGACACGCCGTGATATAACTGGAATATTGGTCAAAGCGGCGTTAAACCAAACTTACTAAGTACAACATTCTGGGAAGGATTAAAATTTATTTTTGTGATAAAGAAAACATGCTGTTCACGCGACACTGTACTGCGCTATCAGATATGAAATAAATGTCCGTCTCCATTTCACATGTTTCATGATAGTTTCTGTTTGACACAACCTCAGCCGTGAAAGGAGGGTCACGGGTAGCCCAGTCGTCTTAGGTGCTGCTCCTTCTTAAAGCTGACACGCCGTGATAACTGGGAATACTATTTAAAGCGGCGTTACACCCAACTTACTCACTCTGTTTAATGTGATGTTTTCGTGTCACGGATGACAAAAGTGATTAACACACACACAATATTATTCCCTTTGCATATATAAAAGCGACAAAATCTTGTCCATATTCATAATAGATATCTACCAAAAGTAGAGTGGATTGAACGATTCCGACTATAGAAGTTCCCGATGCCGTCTATCACTCCGCCCCGGTGGCCTTGCAACTCTTCTCAGATAGACTGGTTCTCTATTGTACATGCGTAGCGTCGAATAGGAGTAACGTTCGACTAATAGGAGTACTAATATTTTTATCTGAATGTTATTACACCTAGGATTATTTAATAAATTTCTTTCAAAGGTGATAATCTCAATTCCAGAAATAATTCATTTCAAATGTCAATCCATCTTCGAAAATCTATTATCCCTGAAAATTAAAAATGTTGCTGCGACCTGAAGCAATTTATGTTCCCTCACTCACAATAATAACAGCATGACCTTGGTGGAACTCATTTGGCCTGTAAACGTGGCACCTTTGACTGTAAGCGTGACACATCAGCATCATCGCATGTTAATCACGTGCACAACGTGATTTACAGTTCGTAAAGTTGGCAGTACGCGCACGTAATTAGCGCATGTATTCATTTCCTGCAGAGACGGTGGAAGTGTCACCAGGGCTGAAGCGATTAGCGTAAGACTTTGAAGTTCATTTTTTAACTATGATTTCCTCAGTTAGTTATTTGAGTGTTAATTGTTTATATCTTGTATCAAAAGCCATTAAACCTCTGGTATTAAGAAGAGACAGCATAAATACCCAAATATTCCTGTAAATATATCATTTAAGTTACGGATTGTAAAACAAACCACTTTCGTTGTATGAATTGGTGTGGGGCTTCCAAGAAAGAGCTGTTATTGATAGATTTCATAATAGGTTTTGTAAATATGTATTGTGTGTTGGTAGACATGTACGGAGTAGTGCAGCTTTAGCTGACTGGTAGACGTGGATATATATTGATCACTACCATAAATGTGTCCAGTACTGGTGTAAATTGATGAGAATGTCTGATCCCACATCCCAAAAAATGTTACCTACTTATTAAGAAGTCAGATTCAGCAGGAAGGAAGACATTGGTATCTTGTATTTACAAGATTGTTGGACTTTCAGTTTTAGTAATATCAATGACCTGCACATTATAAGAATATAAAATCTTTGCTGACGGTTAAATATTATGTTTCAAAAATCATGGTTAGGGAATCGACAGAAATATTTCATTACCGACCACCGGCCCATAATACATTAAAATAGCTTGAAAAATCACGCATGCTGGATTAAAATGCATATATCATAACAATTTCATACACGAAACAAAGGTATAAGGCTTTTCCTTTATTTGTAGGTTTTTGCTATATAATAACTCATATTATGAAGGACAAGATTATTACCTGTTTGCTTTAGCTGTGTGAATTTTATAAGAGGTGGATATTCAGTGTGACATGGCGAGAGATACTTTCTTCTTATAGTGGCGGGGCACGGGTGGCAGAGAAACCTATGATTGTGGGTTCGAATCCGGGCACCAGTGCATCCTGAAACGTTAGTATACATTCCACAAATGATGTGGCTGAATCATAATAATTTGTGAAAAATGCAGCATAAAATTGAAAGAGACCTTTGTATGTATGTCAGTTAATTCCCTTGCTTCGGGAAGATGTATAATTATTATCATGGAAACATTACCCCCAAAATATATTTTTTTTAAAATGGCAATACCTATTACAGTTTACTGTTTTCGAGGCATATTTTCATGTTTTTATGGGGGGCACGTGTGGCCCAGTCGTCTAAGGCGCCGGGATTCGCTGTGCAGAGTTGCGCCCCTTGGGCACGTCAGAAACCTATGATTGTGGGTTCGAATCCCGGTTCGCCCCGATTATGTTTCTAGGTTTGTCAACACCATACCCGTGCCCGTGGGTTTAACCGAAGTGTTAAACGTCTGAGATTTGCATCACTTCGGGCTTTCCTCCCACATGAATCTGACACGCCGTGATACAACTGGAATACTGTTAAAAGCGGCGTTAAACCAAACTCACTCACTCTAGATAGTACTGTGATCTGCTAAATGTCGGACTCATTTTATGTTTTTATAAGTTTTTGATTATAAGAAAATGAAGCCGTGTGCGTGCGCGCGTGAGAGATTTACAGAGCGCCGTCACATAGGTAGTACATTGCTCAGTGCGGCGTTAAACACCTTTTTTTCAAACAACATCGCTGTAGTCATTTCAAAAAGTCGATACACATGTGCCGTTCAAGCCAATTCACTGTTTCGAGGGGGGAACGGGTGGCCCAGTCGTCTAAGGCGCCGCGATTCGCTGTGCAGAGTTGCGTCCCTTGGACACGCCAGAAACCTATGATTGTGGGTTCGAATCAGGGTTCGCCCAGATTATGTTTCTAGGTTTGTCAGCACCATACCCGTGCTCGTGGGTTTCACCGAAGTGGTTAACGTCTGAGACCTGCATCACTTCGGGCTTTCCTCCCACATTAAGCTGACACGCCGTGATATAACTGGAATACTGTTAAAAGCGGCGTTAAACCCAACTCACTCACTCACTGTTTCGAATATTTCGACAGAAAATATACCCCAATTAGCTGTTAGATGTCATATGTTAACCAGAGTCGAATACAGAGAACAAATGACCCCTCACTTATTAGGTTCTTGTTTATTTAAAACATTCATTTGCCATGTTAGGCGATAGAATCAAAAGCCAGTTGCTATAGCGAGTGGTAGCGCCGACCTTGGGCCAAAATGGATTTGTAATTGTGATATGAGCTGTGATGCACTGACTCAAGTTTTTTATTTTTTTCTGTCCGTCCTGAATGTTTCTCCGCGAACACAACAAACGGCGCAAACCCACGATGCCAAATAAACACCTTTGATGTACATGACTATATGACTCGGGTAAAATCTACAAAATTTGCTTTTGAATATATAACATGGATACATTGTATATTAAATACAAATATTCAAACTATTTATCTTTCCTTAAATATACTTGAATTTGATATAACAAATATATGATTTGATAGATGTACCTCGGGTTTAAGATACCCGTACTCTGACCTGTTAACTCTGGGTGCGCGGCCACACACGCTACATCAACCCGTATTACCTTCGTCACATGTCTTCTGGTGTCCCCCGCCGTGATATTGCTGGAATATTGCTTAAAAGCGGCGTGAAACCACTCACGTTATATGTCTCAACTTGTCTCTCTTTTTTTTGCAGAGAATGGTCGCGACAGTTTCACTGCTTCTTCAAACTCAGTTCGTTCTCTTCCTTCTTGCAGGTATTTAAAATAAATATTATTATTATTATTATCATTTATTATTATTATTATTTTATGATGATGATGATGATGATGATGAATCGATGTCATTTATTTCACATTAGGTGCCACGATTTTACACCAGACCCTCCATGACCACCTAGCTGGCCTCAAGGGTCGTAGTATGTGCAGGTTTTGTAGACATTACTTGGGCAGAGCTTCTGATAGTCAGTCCATTATTACATGGTCCATTTTCTGTTACTGTTTGTGAATAATTTGCACTTGAAACTGTAGCTCCTTAACATAGCTATTAAATGTACATATCTTTTTCATTTTTTTTGTATTCATATACATAATATTCTGCCGTAAGTAGAAGATAATTGAGTATCGTTTGGATCTTCTTGCGGGTAGTTGACGTTTAGCCATAGAACCGACGTGTACAATGCAAATAATTCATTACAAAGTCATCGTGCAGTCCTATATGAAATTAACACATAATTTCATGGCGACAGAGTTGTCATGTCAGGACCTGCTACTCCTGGATTCCACGATTGCTTTTCGCCATGCCGAGGGTTTTACCAAAGTTTTACACATCCATTCCTCGCTGCTGGTTGGCTGGTTTGTTGTTTTACGCCGCATTCCAGCTATGTGACGGCGGTCTGTAATTAATCGAGTCTGGACCAGACAATCCAGTGATTGATACCATGAGCATCGATCCACGCAATTGGGTGATGACATGCATCAACCAAGTCAGCGCGCCTGACCACCCGATCCCGTTAGTCGCCTTTTACGACAAGCATAGTCGCCTTTTACTGCAAGAATGGGTTGCTGAAGACCTATTCCACCCCGGACCTTCACGGGTCCCATGCTTCGCGTGTCCTTGGAGCTGTGTTCCGTCATAATGTTCACATGTAGGGTATTTCGTTTTAATTCAGTGAACTGAAAGGATGTTGTGATGCGGCCGATAAACTATCATGTCTTTAACATGTATATCTCGATCACTGAAACGCAGCAATTCGCTATGCAGAGTAGCGTCCCTTAAGCGTGCCAGAATACTATCATCATGGGTTCGAATCCCGGCGCGACCTGATGATCGTTGGTTTGTCAGTACTATAACCCAGTTTGGTTTTTTTACCAAAGGTAAACGTCTGAGACCTGGATTACTTCGGGCTTTGCTCCCACATCAAACATACACATCGTGACATAACTTAAACACTGGCGTTGAATTCTTAATTCACAAACTTAAAACTTCGATTTCAGCCTTGTCCGGCTGTGATGCAAAGCGGAATAGGCGGCATAGGCGGGTTCTCAATTCCTCGTTCAGGTTTCATTTTCGACTGGTGCAAAGCAGCTTTAAATCGATCACCAGGGCGATAGACCAGAAGCTGAAACGCAAACGCCTGAGAAGATTTCTGAAAAAGTAAGTAGACTTTATGATGAAACGTTGTGAGACCCATCTTCCCGAGGCAAGGGAGTTACTTACTATAGACTAAACGGACTATATCGCTATTACTGACCGCCGTCATATAGCTGGAATATTGCTGAGTGCGGCGTCAAGCAAATGTATCTGGTTGATGTGTGATGGTTGTTGTAGCTGTATAGTTGTCGTGTGATTGTTGGGCTGCAGCTGTAGTTGTCGTGTCATGGTTGGGCAGACGGTGTCGTTGCCGTGTGAGGGTTGGGTAGTCGCTGTGGTTGCCGTGTGAGGGTTGGGTAGTCGTTGTGGTTGCCGTGTGAGGGTTGGGTAGTCGTTGTGGTTGCCGTGTGATGGTTGGGTAGTCGCCGTGGTTGCCATGTGATGGTTGGGCAGTCGCTGTGGTTGCCTTGTAGTGGTTGGGCAGTCGCCGTGGTTGCCGTGTGATGGTTGGGTAGTCGTTGTGGTTGCCGTGTGATGGTTGGGAAGTCGCTGTGGTTGCCGTGTAGTGGTTGGGCAGTCGCCGTGGTTGCCGTGTGATGGTTGGGTAGTCGCTGTGGTTGCCGTGTGATGGTTGGGTAGTCGCTGTGGTTGCCATGTGAGGGTTGGGCAGTCGCTGTGGTTGCCGTGTGGTGGTTTGGTAGTCGCTGTGATTGCCATGTGATGGTTGGGTAGTCGCTGTGGTTGCCGTGTGATGGTTGGGCAGTCGCTGTGGTTGCCGTGTGAGGGTTGGGTAGTCGCTGTGGTTGCCGTGTGATGGTTGGGCAGACGCTGTGGTTGCCGTGTGATGGTTGGGCAGACGCTGTGGTTGCCGTGTGATGGTTGGGTAGTCGCTGTGGTTGCCGTGTGATGGTTGGGTAGTCGCTGTTGTTGCCGTGTGAGGGTTGGGTAGTCGCTGTGGTTGCCGTGTGAGGGTTGGGCAGACGCTGTGGTTGCCGTGTGGTGGTTGGGTAGTCGCTGTGGTTGCCGTGTGATGGTTGGGTAGTCGCTGTGGTTGCCGTGTGATGGTTGGGCAGTCGCTGTTGTTGCCGTGTGAGGGTTGGGTAGTCGCTGTGGTTGCCGTGTGATGGTTGGGCAGTCGCTGTGGTTGCCGTGTGATGGTTGGGTAGTCGCTGTGGTTGCCGTGTGATGGTTAGGTAGTCGTTGTGGTTGACGTGTGATGGTTGTTGTAGCTGTAGTTGTCGTATGAGGGTTGGGAAGTCGCTGTGGTTGCCGTGTGATGGTTGGGTAGTCACCGTGGTTGCCGTGTGATGGTTGGGTAGTCGCTGTGGTTGCCGTGTGAGGGTTGGGCATTCGCTGTGGTTGCCGTGTGATGGTTGGGTAGTCGTTGTGGTTGCCGTGTGATGGTTGGGTAGTCGTTGTGGTTGCCGTGTGAGGGTTGGGAAGTCGCTGTGGTTGCCGTGTGAGGGTTGGGTAGTCGCCGTGGTTGCCGTGTGATGGTTGGGCAGTCGCTGTTGTTGCCGTGTGAGGGTTGGGCAGTCGCTGTGGTTGCCGTGTGATGGTTGGGTAGTCGCTGTGGTTGCCGTGTGATGGTTCGGTAGTCGTTGTGGTTGACGTGTGATGGTTGTTGTAGCTGTAGTTGTCGTGTGAGGGTTGGGAAGTCGCTGTGGTTGCCGTGTGATGGTTGGGTAGTCGCTGTGGTTGCCGTGTGAGGGTTGGGCATTCGCTGTGGTTGCCGTGTGATGGTTGGGTAGTCGCTGTGGTTGCCGTGTGATGGTTGGGTAGTCGTTGTGGTTGCTGTGTGAGGGTTTGGAAGTCGCTGTGGTTGCCGTGTGATGGTTGGGTAGTCGCCGTGGTTGCCGTGTGATGGTTGGGTAGTCGTTGTGGTTGCCGTGTGATGGTTGGGTAGTCGCCGTGGTTGCCGTGTGATGGTTGGGTAGTCGCTGTGGTTGCCGTGTAAGGGTTGGGCATTCGCTGTGGTTGCCGTGTGATGGTTGGGCAGTCGCTGTGGTTGCCGTGTGATGGTTGGGTAGTCGTTGTGGTTGCCGTGTGATGGTTGGGTAGTCGTTGTGGTTGCCGTGTGATGGTTGTGTAGTCGCTGTGGTTGCCGTGTGATGGTTGGGTAGTCGTTGTGGTTGCCGTGTGATGGTTGGGTAGTCGTTGTGGTTGCCGTGTGATGGTTGGGCAGTCGCCGTGGTTGCCGTGTGATGGTTGGGTAGTCGTTGTGGTTGCCGTGTGATGGTTGGGTAGTCGCTGTGGTTGCCGTGTGATGGTTGGGCAGTCGCTGTTGTTGCCGTGTGAGGGTTGGGTAGTCGCTGTGGTTGCCGTGTGATGGTTGGGTAGTCGCTGTGGTTGCCGTGTGATGGTTGGGCAGTCGTTGTGGTTGCCGTGTGATGGTTGGGCAGTCGTTGTGGTTGCCGTGTGATGGTTGGGTAGTCGTTGTGGTTGCCGTGTGATGGTTGGGCAGTCGCTGTGGTTGCCGTGTGAGGGTTGTGTTGTCGCTGTGGTTGCCGTGTAGTGGTTGGGCAGTCGCCGTGGTTGCCGTGTGATGGTTGTGTAGTCGTTGTGTTTGCCGTGTGATGGTTGGGTAGTCGCTGTGGTTGCCGTGTGATGGATAGGTAGTCGTTGTGGTTGCCGTGTGATGGTTGGGTAGTCGTTGTGGTTGCCGTGTGATGGTTGGGTAGTCGCTGTGGTTGCCGTGTGATGGTTAGGTAGTCGTTGTGGTTGCCGTGTGATGGTTGGGTAGTCGCTGTGGTTGCCATGTGATGGTTGGGTAGTCGTTGTGGTTGCCGTGTGATGGTTGGGTAGTCGTTGTGGTTGACGTGTGATGGTTGTTGTAGCTGTAGTTGTCGTGTGAGGGTTGGGAAGTCGCTGTGGTTGCCGTGTGATGGTTGTGTAGTCGTTGTGTTTGCCGTGTGATGGTTGGGTAGTCGTTGTGGTTGCCGTGTGATGGTTGGGCATTCGCTGTGGTTGCCGTGTGAGGGTTGGGCAGTCGCTGTGGTTGCCGTGTGAGGGTTGGGTAGTCGCTGTGGTTACCGTGTAGTGGTTGGGCAGTCGCCGTGGTTGCCGTGTGATGGTTGGGTAGTCGCTGTGGTTGCCGTGTGATGGTTGGGTAGTCGCTGTGGTTGCCGCATCCCCTCATAGTTTGATATCAGTTTTTATACACATGTATATCAGAACCACGGGCGCCGCAATTCGCTATACAGAGTTGCGTCCTTTGGGCACGCCAGAAACCTATTATCGGGGCGAACCGGGTTTCAAACCCACGAATCCCGGTTCGCACCGATTGTTTCAAGGTTTGTCAATACCATTGCTTTTCTAGATGTTCGCTTGTTTGAACGAAAAGCTACAAAATCACGCGTACGTACAATGTATAGAATAACATAAAATTATTAAGGTTGATATATAATCTTTCCATATTTTTGCATAATGAAAAATGCATCAGTTATACTTGTTTAAAATGCATGTTCAGAATGGCCAGTGAATTCCTGGCTCAGAAACAACTGCAAGAACAATGGCGTGACGTCATCATAATGTTTTTATTAGTTGTTAATTTCATAGTTTCTTCCATGTCTCCGTGGTAAAAGACCTTCGTTTTCCGTGAAATTGTTTTATCAAAGGGTGGGAGAGAGGGAGAAGATCCGTTCTTGACAAGTGGTGTTAAACAGTCGGCTAAATGCCCAGTCAAAGACAAAGAAGCCATGCTTTTATCCAGATTATTTAGACCACGGTGATGGAAAAGCTTGAATATTGCTAAATACACAACCAACAATGTCAATATCCCGTTTAGACACCCAACAGCGTCAAAAGAAGAGATTAAGCGTGCTAAGAAAAAGGCAGACTGTCCCGCGGCGTTTAAGTGTTCTGAAGAGGACCTCTATCGTACTCCCGACGGCAGCTGTAACAACCTGGACCATCCGCATTGGGGAGCGGCAAATCAGCCATTCCGACGATATCTACCCCCTGAGTATAGTGATAGTAAGTAGAGATGAACGTCATACGTCTACCCGTGAAGATCCGGGGTAGAAAAGGTCTTCAGCAACCCATGCTTGCCATAAAAGACGACTTTGCTTGTCGTAAGAGGCGATTAACCGGATCGGGTGGTCAGGCTCGCTGACTTGGTTGATGCATGTCATCGTATCCCATTTGCGTTGATCAATGCTGATGATGTCAATCACTGGATTGTCTGGTCCAGACTCGATTATTTACAGACCGCCGTCATATAGCTGGCGTTAAACAACGAACAAACAAAAATCATAAGTCTACAGTATACGTATTCTACTCAACATTTGCTAAGGACGAAAAAACGAGGGGCGTCAATAAGTTTTGCAACTTCAATATAAGACCAAGTCGCAGAATATATTTTGCACTTTTAATTTTCAATATAATCTCCATTCACCTCAATACACTTATTCCATTTATCCTTGAAGCTTGTAATACCATTTTTATAGAAATCCGCAGATTGGCCCTCTAACCACGCCTCTGTGGCAGCCTTTGTCCTCGTCATCCTGGAAGCATCTTCCACGTAGGGGAGATTTCATTTGCAGGGAACAGGAAATAGTCACTGGGAGCTAAGTAAGGCTGTACAGTTAAATCACAAACTCTACAAGTCCAGACTTAGCCCACAGTGACTATTTCCTGTTCCGGCAAATTAAATCTGCCCTACGAAGACGCTTCCAGGATGACGAGGACATCACAGACGCGTGGTTAGAGGGCCAATCTGCGGACGGGATCCTGTTGCCAGACTCGCTGACTTGGTGGATGGATGTCATCGCATCCCAATGGCGTAGAACGATACTCATGATGTCAATCACTGGATTGTCTGGTCCACAGATTTATTTACAGACCGTCCTCATATAGTCGGATAAGTGCTGCAGAATGCGGCGTTAAACAAAACATGCCTAACTGGTGGATTGTGCTGCTTTGAATTTTAAAAAAAGAATTGTTTACGTTTCACCAATTTAACTAACATCTTCCCGAGGCAAGAGAGTTAACTGACTTTAAATGTCCAGTTTCCACCCTTGCCGAACTAGGCTGGTATTATGGAGTTACATTTTGGCTGGACGGGAAGATGGTTAAAATTAGGGTAGGGATTGTTTATTGTGCCAAAGTCGTAAACCTTGCAATTCTCCAGGACTTGGGGCATATTGTTTTCACACAAATTTCTAAGTTGTTCATAATTCTAAGGATGGCTGGGAATAGTGAATTTGTCTTCAGCCCTTTATCGATCTTTGTAAGACAGATTTATGCAAGTCGTTTCTCTTTTATAAGTCCTATTTGACATTCTGACACGGCCATTGACTATACTGCAGAAGAAAGTCAACCACGCTTAAAGGGCAAGAAAGAACCGCTGCCCAGCGCCCGGGAAGTGAGTCGACGGTTCCACACTGCTGGCACGGAGGTGGTGGAGGATGCTGGCGTCACGCACATGTTGATGCAATGGGGGCAGTTCCTAGACCACGACATCACCTTCACCCCTGTGCAGACCGAAAAGATTGGTCAGTACACCTCTACACCTCCTATTAATTATAAGAATTGACTTTCACTTTGTGTGAGTTTATTGGACTATGACTATTGAATACCGTTGCTCATGCTGTAAACCATTGTTTTCCTGGACCAGATTCGACATCTTACATGCCGCCAAGAGGTAGATGGAATATGCGATGAAAAACAGTAACTCATTCGATGTGCGTTTTCAATTTGGGCAGTGATGCAAGGTTTATTGGGCAAACTTTGAGAGAATTATTTAAGAATATGATGTATGAATCTCGTGGCTATATCATGACGTCATGGTAAACGCCTAACAGTGGCACCGCTTTGCGATTTGCTCGCAAATTAAGCTGACAGGTCGCGATATAAGTGAAATATTGCTCATCACATTTCGGTACGTTTTACACCGCCAGGGTTAGAACTAAATTCAAAAGCTTCGCTAGCCCGGGTGAAGATAAAGTGCCCTTGTAATACTAAAACAAAGGAAAAGTGAGAAATTTGTACTAGCCTGCTGGAATCTGTACTAGCCCCGGGCTAGCGGGCAAGTGTTAAGTTCTAACCCTGCCGGGACTGCCTCGGTGGACAAGTGGATAGAGCGTCTGCCTTGAGAGCGGAAGGTCGGTGGTTCGATTCCCAGCCGTGTCATCCCTTCCCGAGGCAAGGGAGAAAAGGTCCATTTTCCACACTTGCCGAACTAGGATTTCTGGGCTCGATCGAAGCGCCACCAGTGGATATTACGGGTTATGCCCCTTCTATGACCCTCCTATTGACCAATCAAATTTAACCTCTCATATCACAAACATTTCCTTCAAACAAAATGGCGGCGCCAAATCAAGGCGATCTGATCAATAAACAAGATCTATATTGGAATAAATCAAAATCAGGCGAGGACCTTGATGAAAAACATGAAAGATTTGCAAACTATATGTCGACGCCAAGCTGACGGTGCACATGCTTTGCAATTCCTGCAATCAGTTCACGAACCGGATGTCGATTTCCTCACACGAATATGATGTTTATCCTTCCTGGCGCTCGGCAGTAAAGGGATAGAACAAGGACTGGTATCCATGTTAACTGGGGCATGATATTCCAGTGAGCTGGCACGACAAACCGGCCTTAGCACAGCCTATTAAAGGCAGCCACACCCGCGTGCATATGCACGTCGCTATAGAAGTGCAATGATCTTGACCGCGAGGTTAAACTCCATTTCATCTCGCCTATACCTCACCAATGCATTTTCCTTATTACATTTTCTAACCCTATATGACAGGAAACGACGTAAAGCCATATGCGTGCTGTGAAGACAAACTGGACAGCGTTACCGAGGATGCTGTGAAAGCAATATACTCATACGAGTGAGTATGCCACTCTCATGCATTCTTTGTGAAGCCCATTTCTTGGACCCGACCCCCGTGAGATTGCTGGCATATTGCTAAAATCTGCGTAAAACCATACTCACCCTCTTGCATAGACCTATGAAGATCCGGGTTAGATCTTCAGCAAACTTGCCGTTACAGGCAACCAACGGGCTCGCTAACTTGATTGACGCATGTCATTGTAGTCAAACTGCGTGGATCGATCCTCATGATGTCGATCACTGGATTGTCTGGTCCAGACTCGATTGTTTACAGACCGCCATCATATAGCCTGAATATTGCTGAGTGCGGCGTTAAACAACAAACAAAACAAAAAGCATATATAGATACACGATGTTACATCTGTCGTGGCCAGATTAAGGTACCGACGAATTCATGTCCCAGAAAATGTTTGGATTTTCTTTTTGCTTCAGATTGTTTAATTTTTAGGTCTCCCACTGTCAATACATTTTTCCAAGATAGTTTAAAAAAATATATTTAGGCTCATATGTTTCAAGAAATATCTTGTTTTGAAAAACAGACAAAGTGCATCTGTCTTTAACCACATCAATTGCAACATCTTTTGATACAAAACCTAGTTTTGCTTATTAATTAATAATTTAGTCATTAACAAAATTTTGAACTCGCTACCTTGTTAACATTTTGCGTTTTTTGTGATTTCGTTGGTAATTATCATCCTTGGCTCGATTGAATAAATCAGTTCTATACATCGTAAATCTTGTGACGTGGCGGGTCTTTTTTCGATATGGTGCCATACAACTGTCGCATCCGAAATTAGAAAAGAGCTGCAACGTATTGCAAAACAATATGCAGCCACAAAATATTAAAAGGACAATAAATTTTATTTTTCAGAACTTGCTTCCCCATACCCATATTGCCCAGCGACCCAGTCTTCAATGGACCAACAAGAAAGAAGAAGCTCAACTGCTTTAGTTTTGCTCGGTCAGTGCAAGTTGAAAATACAGATTGTGAGATTGGTACGTGGTCAGTTGAACTTTCACTTTTCCGCCTGGGCTCAAGCAGATGTTGGTTGAATTGAAAGTACGCTGCTTGTATTAAACGTATCGGATATGGACCTTATTCCTGCAAGAACTACGTTTAATACACATACAAACATTCAGCATTTAAAAGTCGCCTTAATTTTCTATATTGACATTTCCCCAAAGCAAGAGATCTAGAGTTAACTGACTTTAAAAGTCCTGTGAAGATTCCGGGGTAGAATAGGTCTTCAGCAACCCATACTTGCCGTAAAAGGCGACTATGCTTGTCGTATAAGGCGACTATGCTTGTCGTATAAGGCGACTAACGGGATCGGGTGGTCAGGCTCGCTGACTTGGTTGATACATGTCATCGATCCCAATTGCGTGGATCGATGCTCATGATGTCAATCACTGGATTGTCTGGTCCAGACTCGATTATTTTACAGACCGCCGTCATATAGCTGGTGTAATGCCGAGTGCTGCGTTAAACAACAAACCAACCTTGCCGAACTAGGCTGGAATTCCTGGGCTCGATCGTAGCGCCACCAGTGGCTATTACAGGTTATGGCGTCCCTTCGAAGCCTCTCCTATGGACCAATCAGATTCCACCTCTCGCATCACTTGCATTTGCTTCAAACAAAATGGCGGCGCCCAGTCAAGACGATCTGATCAAAACTCAAGATCTATATTGTGATAAAACGGGTCTTACATCGCGAAGTGCATCAAATCACGTGAGCGCCTTGAGTAAAAACATAAAAAGATTTGTAAAATATCTGTTGACAACGAGTTGGCGGCACATATGCTTTGCAAATCCTGCAATCGACCGAAATCTGCATGACAGTTTACGAACCGGATTTCGATTTCGTTGCGCGATTTTGATTGGACTATGCATAGACTCGTCAGTCCAAACAAAATGTAACTTACTCCATAATACCAGCCTAGTTCGGCATGGCTGGAAACTGGACTTTTATAGTCAGTTAACTCACTTGCCTCGGGAAGATGTATTTGGAGACGTGAAATGGCAATAACGAAATATAGGTTTTTGCAAAGCATTATGTAGGTACATTGTAGTTGTCAAAAAAAAGGTCCTCGGACTCCAACGACGTGTTTCATTGTTCACATGAATCAATCGATTCTGGATCGGGCAGTCCAGTATAACAGCCCGTTGTCATAAAGCTGGACTATAAGGGAGAGGGGCGTTAACCACTGCTCTTGCTATCAACCACTGGTTTCCGTGTAGACTCGATGTAGCTACTCTTGCCTGCAACCTTGTCTCTCATTTGTTTTGGAACGCGTGCGCACGCACGCAGGCAAACACACACACACACGCACGCAGGCAAGCAAGCACACACACACACACGCACACGCACACGCACACGCACACATATAGAACCCTAGCGCGGATGTAATGCATTTAGTTTTAATATTAGAGACTGTTATTTGTTTCGAGACCGCCTCTGTGGTCTAGTGGTAGAGCGTCCGCCCGGAGAGAGGAAGGCCCGGGATTCCATCCCCGGACGCGTCATACCAAAAGACGTTAAAAGATGGTGCTTGTTGTTACCGTGTCTCACGCTCGGCATTAAGGGGCTAAAACAAGGACTGGTCGGCTCGGAGTCAGTATACTGTGTCTGAGTGGGGTATTCATGTTAAACTGCGGCATGGTATCTCAGTGAGCTAGCACTATAAATCGGCATCGGTCCGGACTACTACAAGCAGTGGCACACACGTGCATGCACGTGCAATAATCTGTTTCGAATTACAATGTGGAGGGCCAGGGAGTTGTATAACGATTAGTTTCGAATTAGAATTATAAGTATTCTTGCTATTCCTGTGAAAAATATTTCGTTGTACTAAAAGCACTCTGTTCAGAATCAATATTTCAGGGGTAGCCACTTGTCTAAGGTGCCGCAATTAACTGTGCAGAGTTGCGTCCCTTGGGCACGCCAGAAACTATGATTGTGGGTTCGAATCCCGGTTCGCCCTGAGACGTCTGAGACGTCTGAGACCTGCATCACTTCGGCTTTCCTCCAAAATTAGGCTGACATGCCGTGATGTAACTGAAATACTGTTCAAATGGGCGTTAAACCCCACTAACTTACTCTTCAGCTCCAGTTGAACAGTTGAATCAAATCACTGCTTACATCGACGCATCGAACGTGTATGGGTCGTCCAAGGAGGAACAGGATTCCTTGAGGGAATTTAATCAAGGTAAGTGTTTCGTGTATGTTGGCAAGGCCGTAGTTAACTTTTTACATGATGGGGGGGGGGGGGGGGGAGGCAAATAAGATTATTCATTTCTTATTCAAGTTAACTTTCACAAGGAAAAATGCTTTCTATAAAAAATCCAGGGGGGCATCTGCGTGGGGGGGCTTGTATGGAGATTGGATATTGGTTGCATTAAGAGTGACTGTTTTAAAGTAGACATCTTAACGTTAAGCTAACTTTATGCTCATGGACGGAGCGGGGGTCCTAAGTTGGATAACTTGTTCCCAATTTATTTAAATCTGAATAAAATGTTCAAACAAAACCAGATGGCACTAAGTCTCGTCCAGAAGAGACACGTTGATTGGTTTCGACATCAAGCTCATAAGCGAGATAATTCTGTACTGGTGATAAGCGATCATTTCAGAAACGATGCCTTGGTTGCGAATGGGTACAGGTAGCCTTGCTTCAAGGCTGTATTGAATATGTCCATGGGTGTCGAGTAATTCTATCCTTAGTCAAGTCTAGATAAGCGCACAGTACAGGATGCCAGTCTCTAACAGGGACACCTTGTTCTTATTTAGATAATCTAGAAATTATCATAATTTAAACTAATAACTTAGAGACTTGTGCAAGTCGAGGGTACGGGGAATGTGTTGTAGGATGATATACCATCCGTTTCTTCCAGGTTTGATGAAATGCCAGAGGATGCCGAGTCACGATGGATGCCCTGCTGCCGATCTATTGCCCTCTAACGTCAACACATGTGGATCAACAAAATGTTTCAAATCAGGTAATACTAATACGACGAATAATATAAGCTTTTGTCCATGGGGTGTGAACCGGTGAAGATCCGGGTAAGAATTGGTCTTCAGCAACCCATGCTTGTCGTAAGAGACGACTAACGGGATCGCTGACATGGTTCATGAATGTGATCGTTCCCCAATTGTGTGGATCGATGCTCATGATATCAATCACTAGATTGTCTGGTTCGATCTCGATATATTTACAGACGGCCTTCATATAGCTAGAATGGTTGGTTGGTTGGTTGGTTTGTTGTTAAACGCCGCACTCAGCAATATTCCAGCTATATGACGGCGGTCTGTAAAAAATCGAGTCTGGACCAGACAATCCAGTGATTGATTTCATGAGCATCGATCCACACAATTGGGATCGATGACATGCATCAACCAAGTCAGCCAGCCTGACCACCCGATCCCGTTAGACGCCTCTCACGACAAGCATAGTCGCCTGTATCAAGCTTTCTCCTGTCTCAGTTTTCCTCCATTTCCGACATGCTCAATATCACCGTCTCCTCTCTCATCCCGGGGCACGGGTGGCCCAGTCCTCTGAGGCGCCGCGAGTCGCTGTGCAGAGTTGCGTCCCTTGGGCACGCCAGAAACCTACGATTGTGGGTTCGAATCCTGGTTCGCCCCGATTATGTTTCTAGGTTAGTCAGCACCGTACCCGTGCTCGTGGGTTTCACCGAAGTGGTAAACGTCTGAGACTTGCATCACTTCGGGCTTTCCTCCCACATTAAGCTGACACGCCGGGATATAACTGGAATTCTGTTAAAAGCGGCGTTAAACCCAACTCACTCACTCCCCTCTCATCCTTATTGCCGAGCGCTGTACTGCTATCAAGAATGACCAGACGTACCGCATTTTCGATTTTGGTAATCTTCTGCACGTGCTTAAGGCGATTTGGACAGTACTGAAACGAAGGCTAAACGCGTTGTCAGCTTCATCGATTGGTTTCAACTTATGCCCAATTTAAATATCTATTTTCCGCTTTTCTCTCGGCTAATACGACAGATAAAACACTCCTCCTCTGTTCTGGTCGGAAATGTCGTTCTCCGAACTGTGGCTCATAAGGAGGGAGTTGTATAATGGTTAGTTTAGAATTATGATTGTAGTCCTGCAATTCCTCATGAAAAATATTTAGTTCTTCAAAAAGCAACTCTTTTCAGAATCAGTATATCTTTAGGTACTTTCGGTACTTTCGGTACCGGAGGCACGGGTGGCCCAGTCGCGGAGTTACCACCCTTGATCGTGGGTTCGAAACCCGGTTGTTTCTAGGTTTATCGGCACCAAACCCGTGCTCGAGGGTTCCACCTAAGTGGTAAACGTCTGAGACTTGCATCACTTCGGGCTTCCCTCCCACGCTGTGACATAACTGGAATAATGTCAAAATCGGCGTTAAACCCAACTCGCTCATAAGGTCTATAAGGTTAAGGGCATGGAGGTGTTTACTCAACACCAGTTTGGTTTAATCTTATGTTCAATGCTATTAAAAGATACGTTGTTTATTTTTGGGGTTTTTTTTGCAATGACATCCTTCAGGCGACGTCCGGGTGAACGAACAGGTTGGTCTGGCAAGCATCCACACTGTGTGGCTGAGACAACACAACGCCGTTGCCAGGCAACTAGGTGCCATGAACAAGTCATGGAGGGACGACGACGAGAAAGTCTTTCAAGAAACCCGAAAAATTGTAGGCGCGATGATGCAAGTGATTACTTACAACGAGTTTCTGCCCATCGTACTTGGAGACGAGATGAAGAAGTACAAGCTCGATTCAGAAGATGCCACGCCAAGTATATATCAAGACAATTTACTCAAGGATCTTCTTGATCTGTTAGCTCCGAAAAGCAAGCACAGGGCCATAGATGCAACTATCAGGAACTCATTTGCGACTGCCGCCTACCGTTTTGGCCATTCCCTGATCCGCGGGGCGACGTCTTTGGGTAACAATGTGACAATAAAGCTCAGTGATGCGTTTGGCGATACAGCAATGATGACCGAAAACCACTGTGTCACATCGAAATGGATGTGCGGACTATCGCAGGACAAGTGTTTAAAGGTAGGCATGGGCTTCTAATAATCGATCACCTCTTTCTTTGGTTTTGGACCCGCGTTTCTATATTTATTTAGAGATAATGTTATTATTATTCATTCCTTTTATAACGCACTTATAATACCCAGCTGGGGGGCACGGGTGGCCCAGTCGTCTAAGGCGCTGCGATTCGCTGTGCAGAGTTGCGTCCCTTGGGCACGCCAGAAACCTATGATTATGGGTAGAATCCCGGTTCGCCCCGATTATGTTTCTAGGTTTGTCAGCACCATACCCGTGCTCGTGGGTTTCACCGAAGTGGTAAACGTCGGAGACCTGCATCACTTCAGGCTTTCTCTCATATTAATCTGAAACGCCGCGATATAACTGGAATACTGTTAATAGCGACGTTAAACCAAACTCACTCACTATAATAGCCAGTGAACAGGTGATTGCTCATTGTGCTAGATATATCAATACTGGTTCCTGTGTACACCGCATCATCACAAATCAGGTCACGGGTAACGATTATTTATAGTAAAGAGTCTATTAGGACCTGAGGAATCTTTCGGGTTTAATTGAAAGCTCAGAAACACTGTACAATTTATAATTTTAACACGAATTCGAAGGTAGATATTTTAGGTACTGCAAAAAATCCTCTATAATTTTCCCAGCTTGTGGTCTTGAAAGATTTCACATTACCTCAATTTTATTACGCTGATGTCTAATGCAATAACGTTTCATACTTTACAAAATATGTTGGAAGACGCTTTAATTAATATATATATTATATAATGTATAATGTATGTATGTGTGGACCTTCATGTAAATAAACTGCTCCTCTTACCCGTGAAGATCCGGGTACCAATAGGTCTTCAGAACCCACGATTGTCTTAAGAGGCGACTAATGGGATCGGGTGGTCAGGCTCGCTGACTTGGATCAATGCTCATGTTGTCAATCAATGGATTGTCTGGTCCAGACTAGATTATTTACAGACCGCCGTAATATAGCTGAAATATTGCGGCGTTAAACATCAAATACACTTCTCTCCTGCTAAAGGTTGACCGGTTCCTGACCCCTGAGATCACTGAGCACCTGTTTGAGGACGCCGACGGCAACAAACTGGACCTTGCAGCGTTAAACATCCAGCGGGGGCGGGACCATGGCTTGCCTGGCTACAACGCATGGAGGAAATTCTGTGGACTGAAAACGTTCCAAAAGTTTTCTGACATGACCGATCATACTAGTCAAGAAAAGGAATTATTGTCGTCACTGTACGAGTAAGTTGTTCGTCTGTTGATGTGTAGGGTCTTGCAGTGATTCCTGTGACGGATGGGTTTGTTTGTTCAATCATCCGATTGTTACAGTAAGACCTACAAAAGTGATTTGTCCACCTTGTGACTGTTCCTTTCAGTCTGTTAAGAGTTTAGTTATTAAGCTATCAACACAGTCATGGAACTGGGATTCGGAACTGCTTTATTTGCTTGTTGTTTAACTCCGCACTCGGTAGTATTCCAGCTTTATGGCGGCGGTCTGTAAATAATCGAGTCTGGATCAGACAATCCAGTGACTGACATCATAAGCATCGATCCACGCAATTGGGATCTATGACATGCATCAACCAAGTCAACGAGCTTGACCACCCGATCTCGTTAATCGCCTTTTACGACGAGAACGGTCGCCTTTTTCGGCGAACGCATGGGTCCTCAGTGTAACATGTGTATTGTAAAGTGAAGTGAAACGTCGAGTTGAACGTCGCAAATGGCTCAGCGACGCTCTTGGTCAAGGGGCGGTCGGGTAGCCTAGTGGTTAAAGCGTTGGCTCGTCACGCCGAATACCGTGTTCGATTCCCGACATGGGTACAATGTGTGAAGCCCATTTCTGGTGTCCCCCGCCGTGATATTGCTGGAATATTGCTAAAAGCGGCGTAAAACCATACTCACTCACTCACTCACTCTTGGTTAAGAGGCGCCTAACGGGTTCGGGTGATCAGATTCGTTGACATGATTTAATGCACTTCGCGAGGTAAGACCCGTTTCATTACAATAGAGATCTTGATCATCGATCAGATCAAATGACTGGGCGCCGCCGTTTTGTTTGAAGCAAATGCAAGTGATAGGAGAGATGGAATCTGATTGGTCAACAGGAAGGTTATTGAAAGAACAATACTAGTTATATCCACTGATGGCACTGCGATCGAGCCCAGATATTCCTGTCGAGTTCGACAAGGGCGGTAACTGGACTTTTACAGTCAGTCAACTCCCTTGCCTCAGGAAGATGTGATGTTACTGAACCACAGTGCAAACACAACTCGCTCACTTTAGAAAGCCATGATGCTACTTTCCACCTGTTTGGTTTTCTGATGCTCTTGGAGCTGTTTTCCATCAATTGCCGTTACTGACAGCTTTAAGTGAAATATACTGAAATGGCGTCCTAACACTTAAAAACGTTTTATTTATTCTTGTTCACTAGTCACCCAAATGACATCGACCTCTTCACCGCTGGGATCAGTGAGAGGCCATACAACGGCGGGTTGGTCGGGCCGACATTCGCCTGTATCCTCGGGCGTCAGTTTTCTGCTCTCAAACATGGCGACCGATTTTGGTATGAGAGAACTTGTGAAAGCGTGCGTTTCACAAGAGGTACGTGTTAATTATCAAATTAATAATTCGGTTTGGACTGAAAGTGATCCGTTATGATTATGTACAAACAGATAAGTCAGACGTGTATTCCTCTCCACACGAACCTGTACCTGTAATAGCCTTCTGTTGGGCATTTGGTGGTCAGGCCCTCAATGACTGAGGGCCCGTTCTTTAGAATGAATTTTTACAATGCTCTTTTTTTTCTTTTTTTTCTTTTCGTTGTTTTTTAGGGGGGGGGGGGGGGGGGGGAGAGAGAGGGAGAGAGGGAGAGGGAGGAGAGAGAGGGAGAGAGGGAGAGGGAGAGGAGTTCTACAGATGCAACTCCAGATTCTTATCTACTCACATTTCTACCTATACTTATGAGCTTAAATATTCCTTTTAGCTGATTGCATGTCATCCCGATGGCGTCGATGTTCATGCTTCGTCATTGGACTTATTCAAATATTTACAGGCCGCCTAGTTTGGCTGTAATATTGCTCACTGCGGCGTGGAACAACATTCACTCGCGTCACTGTACTTGCTTTGGAATGGACTGTTCAGTGTCGTGTTGAATGAGAAGGGAAACATTGCTCTCATCTATTATCTCAACATTCTTTTCTTGTTTCAGAGCAAATTGAAGAGCTTCGCAAGGTAACGTTTTCCCGGGTCCTGTGTGATCACACCGGCATTACAAAAATACAGCCAAACAGCTTCCGGTCTACAAGCGACACGTATGTACTGCTTTTCGCATATCCACATATTTTTTTTAATATTTTTTTTTATTATCATTTTTGGTCTAATCGGACTGTGAAGATCCGGGGTAGAATAGGCTCGCTGACTTGGTTGATGCTTGTCATCGTGTCGCAATTGCGAGGATCGATGCTCCATGCACAATCACTGGATTGTCTGGTCCTGACACGACTATTTACAGACTGCCGTCATATAGCTGGAATATTGCTGAGTGCGGCGTTAAACAACAAACCAACAAAACCGATATACATGTATGGTCTGAGCCGAATGAACATTCGCTCTATTGTTAATGATCCTAAAGGTAGTTGTGGTCATTTTTATGAAGATATTCTTCATTTAGGAGATAAACCTACTGTTAAAGAATTGATGCAGTCCCACTGTAGAGTAGATGCCTCTTTTTTTAATGTGGAACCGAGCGCTATCTCCATTCAACCATGACGGTGCTCTTTTGCAACGCGTAACAATGGACGAGAACATTCCGGAAAGGACGAGAACATTCCGGAAAGGACGAGAACATTCCGGAAAGGACGAGAACATTCCGGAAAGGACGAGAACATTCTGTAAAAGGGGTCACAGGAAGTTATATATGTAACAAATATTTCTAAAGTTTAACATTAAAATACCCGTAGCCTTGACTAGTTCAAAATAAGTGTTCAAAACGCAGTTTTTTCTAAAAGAATATAACAAATAACCCTCCAGACTTTGTCGCCTCTAATGACAAGCATAGTCGCCTTTTAGGGTTGCTGAAGACATATTCTACCCCAGATCTTCACGAGTCCATTACAGCAAATAACACGGGTTTTAAACCCAACATGGTGGCATGGATGGCCTCGTCGTCTGAGGCGCCACAATGCAAGGTTTGTCATCACCACACCCGTGGTCGTGAGTTGCAGAGTGATGAAGGTCTGAGACCATCATCACTTGGGGCTTTCCTGCCACGTTAGGCTGACACGCCATGATATGACTGGAATACTGTTACATCAATATCTCAGGGCTCGTATTTCGGTAAACCTACACTCAGCCCTGGATCCGTTCGCGCTTCTCGTTCTCTCAAATTACCTGCCCTTGATTTTTTAGCCATTTTGATTGGCTACGCTACTAGGTCTAACGTACCAATCAGAATGCGAGTTACAAAGCAGCTTCAACGTTGGGTTGGCGATGTCAACAACATAGCGGCCAATCTCACTGGTTACGATAGTGTTTGCGAGCAATTAAACGTTGAAAAACTGACTGACTCGCAAAAGAAAAGGATGTCTTCGGGTCCTTTAAAACTGGAGGTGGCTTTGATTACTCGGCAATACGAGTTATCTCCCCTACCCATGTCTTTTTCCTCATCTCGACGTTTGATTGGTCGGTAAAATGTCAACTCACTCACTCACTTTATGTGGTACCTATTGTGTTCCCATTGCAGTATTAGTGACATCAATAGAAATCAAACTTGTACCCTCCTAAACGTTTTTAGTTTATCCACTCCTTCTTATACCGACAGGGGCGGTCGGGTAGCCTAGTGGTTAAAGCGTTAGTTCGTCACGCCGAAGATCCGGGTTCGATTCCCGACAGGGACACAATGTGTGAAGCCATTTCTGGTGCCCCCGCCGTGGTATTGCTTGAATATTGCTAAAAGCGGTGTAAAACCATACTCACTCACTCTTATACCGACATTTTGCTGTGAGTATTTGCTCGAAAGGTGAATTTATAATTCAGAATGAACACACTTTAGTCCGTATACAGTCCATTCATATCCGAAGGTTGTTCAAACTGCCTATTTTAAAGAGTTGTTTTTCTTCCAGAAACCAGATCAAGAATTGTGAGGATCTGCCGAAAATGGACATCTCAAAATGGAAAGTCCTCTAGATCACTCAATGTAGTTTTGTATATCTGCATAATAAATTTATGGTGGTCGAATGCTCTCTCTGTGTGTGTGAGCATTTGGATTAGTGAGCTGATATGACGTTTAGGTATTAAATGTTATGTACCCAATCTCATTAAAATCATTTCTGAGTTCTCGCTGCCGCTTAACAAAGATCTTAGGACATCCCATTACGAGTCACGTCAGAACGACCTTTCAGGAACTTTGACCGACCACTGAAACGACTTAAACGAAGTCGACATCAACCAATTAGAAAGCAGCTTTCTCGAGCTTAACGGCACTCGTTTGAACCTGGCGACTTCCATTTCAGACTACGCTTGAAAAATATGCTGATACCGTTCTCGATTAAAATTCTGAAAACTGAACAAACGAACATTCCGGAATGTCTGGTATAAAAGTTGCGATTGTATGGCAGTGCTTCCCAGTACTGTACAACGCCTCCTCCGTTCAAATGTTTATCCCACTGAAGCGAGAGATAGATGATAATTTGGACGGAAACAGTCGTACGGGCCGTAACTGTCGTTCGGGATACCCCATGTTAACGTTTTCGAGGTTGCATAATTAGAAAACACATTCTGTCAGTCACTTTCGTGATCTGTTATGCGACGCTTTGATTGGTCGGGTGAAAAGGTCGTTCTGACGTGACCCGTAATGGGATGTCCTCAGATCTTTGTTTAGCGATAGCACAACTAAGATCTGATTTTAATGAGATTGCATCGTACCCCGATCCCGGTGAACGTTGCTCATAATATCAACCACTAGTTTGTCTTACCCATACTTGATTATTTACAGGCCGCTGTCGTACAACGAGAATATCAGAGAGCGACAACACTCAAGTAGAACTGTTACCTGTAAATAATTGCAAAACCAGATCTTTCTTCCTCGACACCAGTCCCGATAAGGTTTAAACCTGACATTCTTGCTCTACCAAAATTGACCTGCAGATTTGTAATGATGAACCTTAGTATTGATGTTCGATCCCAATCTCAATCGGCCGATTCTTAATACATAACCAGGGGCGGTCGGGTGGCCTAGTGGTTAAAGCGTTCGCTCGTCACGCCGAAGACCTGGGTTCGATTCCCGACATGGGTACAATGTGTGAAGCCCATTTCTGGTGTCCCCCGCCGTGATATTTCTGGAATATTGCTAAAAGCGGCGTAACACCATACTCACTAATACATGATCAACACGAAGGATGAAATATGTATCTTTTATTGAAAAAGAGGCATGCTTTATGATATGGTAACGAACTGACATCAGGGTACCACAAACGAATATTGAATTATACTATAAGAAGTTATATGAAAAGATCGAGTGTCGTTTAACTTTTGAGCAGAATATAATACACTGGCTAAACGAAGATGCCCTGTTCCCGGTAACACTTTACTAAATACTAGTGGGGGCACGAGTGGCCCAGTCGTCTAAGGCGCCGCGTTTCGCTGTGCAGAGTTGCGTCCCTATGGCACGCCAAAAACCTATGATTGTGGGTTCGAATCCTGGTTCGCCCCGATTATGTTTCTAGGTTTGTCAGCACCATACCCGTGCTCGTGGATTTCACCGAAGTGGTAAACGTCTGAGACCTGCATCACTTCGGGCTTTCCTCTCGCATTAAGCTGACACGCCGTGATGTAACTGGAATACTGTTAAAAGCGGCGTTAAACCCAACTCACTCACTCACTACAAAATACTAGTACAGTCGTAGCGGCGGCAATTTTATAAACCTCTGATTGACCAATCAGAATGGAGTAAATTCCAAATTCATGGTAGAATAAGGAGATAAACATACTGTGTTTTCAATGTAGAGCTGGGTTACCTGTAGATTTAACCCCGCTAAATTGAATTTGGAACCGAATTTAGCGGGGTTTAATCAACAGGTAACCTAACTCTACATTGAAAACACAGTATGTTTATCTCCATCCTACCATGACTAAATAAAATGCGAACTCTTTGGTGTTAGCAAATATACTGAGTGAAGCGGCATGGGTTGAGTCCGGTGTTTGGAGTGGGTTGTCGATCTGAATTACGGAATCACCGAACAAAATATTGCGCTGTATATACTCAAGCAGTTTGTTTACACCAAAATACTTCACTCGAACATATGACAAACACTGAAAGCATGTAAGCACGGCAACTTGGTAAGCTAACATGAGGCGGGCATCCCTACAGAAAAAGCAAGCTTTGCAAGGCTTTCGCTCTACATAGCGCGTCACCATTATGACGTCACATCGGTGTGACATTGTCATTGTGACGCAAAATATATGACGTCATAGTCGTACTTAGAAATGCGCCAAAATTCCAAGCTCTGTTGTGTCTAAAACGTAAATACATTCCCTTTGTACACTTCTATCGTGTTTTCTGCGTGAAATGTATCGCCACACATCCTTTGAATATTGTAGTAACCGCATCTGCGCATTTTGTAACCTGCAATTGTAGATGTAATTATTTAAATATGCCTACCGAAAATGACTGAAAAAAAGTACTATTCTATGAATATTAGCTTCCGCGTTGATGCGGCCGTCAAACCAGCTGTTTCAATCAGAGGGGGTTTATTGTGATTTAATAGCCTCTGACAGACCAATCAGAATCGAGTAAATTCCAAAGTCATAGAATTCCGTATGTCCCGATGTGCTTTAAATTGTATGAAATATATATGATATATGTGGCAATATATGTGAACCATTGCGCATTTTGGGTATGCCCGTTTGCGCTAAGACGGAACCCGGTCGCATAAATCGACGCGAGAGGGGCACGAGTCGCTATTCGGCTTGTCCCGGAATAACGCGAGTTGGTCACGATTGATCAAACAGTTGTTAGATACCCCCCATTTGATATTCAGTGCGGGCTGTTTTGTTGTTGTTAAAAAAATGTAATAAACAGTAAACTACGGTTATAACGAACACGCTTATAACGAACTGATGGATATAACGAACTTCCTTTTTTGGTCCGACTATTTGCTGTAGTTATGCTTATAACGAACTTCGGTTATAACGAACTAAAATTAGTGGTCCCTTTGAGTTCGTTATAACCATAGTTTACTGTAGTTTCAATCACAAACATTGGAGCCGAACAAGTAATTTTTACAGCATTTGTTCAGCATTTGCAGCGAACTGTTTGTGTGTGAAGCCTTTTCTGGAACGAATTGTTTCAGCATATCAAATAGCTGGTCCAGACTGTCGTAAATGGTCAAGATGCACCTCATTATTTTAGCATAACGTTCGTATTGCCACAGAAGCCTTTTACGGCCATTTGTTTTTTTTAATTTCAAGATACTAAGTTGAAATTTCAAGATTATTCACTTCAAACGTATTTTTACATCTTAGGATGTTAAAAACTTAGTATCTTGAAATTTCAAGATAGTATCGAAAAAAATAAAAAACAAAACAAATGGCACTAAAAGGCTTCCGTATATTGCGGTGTGTAGGTAAAGTTAGTTTCTGTAATGAAAATCAAAATTCAACGAACAAGGGAACTAGCTTCTTGTATCCTTTTATAAGCTCTCGTCAGAGTTCTCTAACAATAGGTTTGTCTGTTATAATATCGCCGACAGTTTATTTGCCACGCCCAGGCTGAGGCTGAGGCCGAGGACGGGAGGAATTGTCGATCCACTTGTTCAGATCCATGCTAGGAATGTTTCCATTCTCGCACATTTCAACCGAATTTCTGTAAATAAAAAACAAACATTTACTGCATAATATATCCTACATATCGTGATCTTTAGTGCCACCTGCTTCCCTAAGCCAAGGGGCGGTCGGGTAGCCTAGTGGTTAAATCGTTCGCTGGTCACGCCGAAGACCCAGGTTCGGTTCCCGAAATGGGTATAATGTGTTAAGCCCATTTCTGGGGTCCCCTTGCTGGAATATTATATAAGCGGCGTAACACCATACTCGCTCACTCCCTAAACCAAACGGTTGTTTACTGGAAAATATATTACAGTGGATTCATGCTATCAACCCCTGGTTTAATTGCGCCACATACTTTTCATTTTCGCAACGTTATTCTGGGTAAGTACCTCTGCTCTTGGGCCGACTAATCATCAGGTGTCGACGATTGTCTCATCCCACCCACATGGCGTTGAAAGTCATTATGCTATCAATCACTAGTTTGCGGGCGGTAGTGATGTAAAGGCACTATTGCTGGCTCTACCATTCAAGAAACAAACTTCCTTGGCAACGTTTTAATTGAAAGATTTTATGTCCGCTTCCACAAATTGATACCATGGACAAAAGGCCGCAAAGGAATGTACTTTTAACTCCCAATGTTAATCTCGTTCGGGCAGTATTCGGCGTTGATTGTTGCCCGTGCTTTCAATCACTGGTATGCCTGTCTCGGACAGGACAGGTCGCCGTGATATATCTTTGAGTTTGCTTACTGTGGCTTGAGAAAACAAACATTTCATGCATTCCTCTTATGTGCATGTTTTCTAAACCTACCCGGGGGCACAGGTGGCCCAGTCGTCTAAGGCGCTGCGATTCGCTGTGCAGAGTTGCGTACTTGGGCACGCCAGAAACCAATGATTGTGGGTTCGAGTCCCGGTTCGCCCGGATTATGTTTCTAGGTTTGTCATCACCATACCCGTGCTCGTGGGTTTCACCGAAGTGGTAAACGTCTGAGACCTGCATCACTTCGGGCTTTTCCTTCCACATTAAGCTGACACGCCGCGATATATAACCCGAATACTGTTATAAAAAGCTTACCCTGTTGTCGTCTTTGTCTTGAAAGCATTGCGCTGGATGGATGTCGTGTCGGTGTTGTCGCACAGAACACGGGACAAGGATGCCTTCCTAATTTCTGCCAGTTGCTCTGAAAATTGTTTGGTATAGAGTTACGGCAAGTCGTAAATAACACAATCATAGGGGTAAATCGTACAATGGTACGTCGAGTAAATTGTACAATGGTACGTCAAATAAATCGTACAATGGTACGTCAAGTAAATCGTACAATGGTACGTCAAGTCGTAAATCATGCAAAAATAATGACGCCCATTTATACATGGCTCGAATATTGCTTAGTGCGGCGTTAAACAACAAACAAAACAAAAACAAAAAACGTAAAGGGGAAACTTTAACCCCTTTTGACATAGTCCTGTAGCTAGTTTGGTAGCACTGTTGAATATTTATGGTAAACATGAAACCTATAAAACCTCACAGATAACGTCTACATGTAATATGGTTAACAATGGGGATCCGTGAAGATCCGGGGTAGAATAGGTCTTCAGCAACCCATGCTTGCCGTAAGAGGCGACTAACGGGATCGGGTGGTCAGGCTCGCGGACTTGGTTGATGCATGTCATCGTATCCCAACACGTGGATCGATGCACATGTCAATCGCTTGATTGTCTGGTCCAGACTCGATTATTTACAGACCGCCGTCATATAGCTGGAATATTGCTGAGTGCAGCGTTAAACAACAAACAAAACAAACAAACAAACAAACCTTCATTAACCTGAATAAAAAGAAGTTGCTATCCATAAAATAGTGTCACGTATTCATATGCTCACAACTTCTAAATGCCTATCAAAGACTTCCATATATAGTCTGGAAGGTAATTTAAGGTACCGACGTTTACTACAATATCTGAAAAACTATTGGACCTACTCCAGTCAAAGTTGGTACGAGAATATTAAACAGTCATACATAACTGGATATTACATTTAGAGACAATCGGTGCATGAATAAAAAATCTGTCTATTTAGCTATCACTATTTCATCAACAGCCAGACCTGTTCGTCACGGGTGGAACGAGCATTCATTGAAACCACCATCTGCATAATGCTACCCCTGCGTCACAGGGCCATATGACACAGTTGAACCAATCAACTCAACTCGAAAGCGTGCACGGGAATCACGCACGTTGAGACGCCCAACGCTAACACCGTATTCGTGCGCGCGTGATTCCCGTGCACCCTTTCGAGTTGAGTTAACAAATAACACTGGGATACGAACACTGCATTCGCGAGACTCACCAGGCCTAAAGTGGGTGTCTCGGTCGTCCGTTTCAAACCAGTATCTGTCGCCGGACATCAAGCTCTGAAACTGTTTCCCCAGGATACACGAGAACGTTGGCCCCACCAAACCGGTGTCTGCCCTCTCAGCCAATCCACCAGTGAATAGATCAATGTCGTCAGGGCTACTGCAAAATACAAGAAAACAGGGGCATCATAACCTAGATTGTCTGGTCCAGATTCGATTATGTACAGGCCGCCTTATAGCTGGACTATTGATGAGAAGGCGTTGAACCGCACTCACTCAAGCACGCACACACTTTATTGAACTGGAATTCCCTATGCAGATTCAGGGAGCGATTAGACCCAAAATGGCATGCTTGTCGTAAGTCAAACCCGGTCACTGGTTTGTCTGGTCCAGACTGATTATATTTTGTTTGTTGTTTAACGCTGCACTCAGCAATATTCCAGCTATATGATGGCGGTGATTATAGCTTGAACATTGCACACGTAGATCAAATTCATTAAAATCAGATTTTTCCTCCGATACGACAACTCACTGCGTGAAGATCTGACAACCATTCCAACACCTGGCATGGCATAGGATACGATTGTCGCATCTGAATTCACAGATTTAAGACGCACGCTTTGGCCTAATGGTTTAGAAGACATGACAAGGGACTATTGTCGGACTATTCATATCCCACCGTATTACAGTTGGGATATTATCCACTGCGACATAAACCAACATTCATTCACCCCTAGTCTCCCCCCCCCCCCCCCCCCCCCCACATACACACACACACGTAACTGTACGACATATACGACGGAGTACTATCTAAACTAGGTACTTACTCGTAAAGGGCGAACAATAGAAGTTGACTTTCGGCGTCGATATCTCGCAGGTCATCAAAATTCTGAGCAGGATGCAAGCCGCACTTCTTCCGCCAGTCATTGTAACCAGGTAAACCATGGTCTCGACCTCTCTGGATATTCAAGGCTGCGAGGTCAAGACCGGTTTGTGGAGCCTCCTCGAAGAGTTTGTTGGTCAATTCAGTAGTCATGAACCTGTCGACACCCTTTGCTTCCTCGGATACCATACCACGGAGCCAGGCGCCGATGGAAGATGTCATGGATTGGATGAGATTAGTTCTACCAAAGATGTCATGGAGCTCATTGTCTTCGTAACTGGCGTAGTCAGTGTCGTACTTGGTGAATATGTTTCTTATCAGGGAGTGGCCAAACCTTCAAAACAAATAAGAAACCTGGATTGTTTTCTTGATACTTGTTAAATTAAATTCCCTGAATGAGTAGGCGCAGCATTCAAGACTGCCTAGACGTTTCCGTATATCGAAAACGTACATAAACGGACAGTTCCGAATGGAAAAGAAAGATTTCGATAGATATATTGTAGATATTGTATACACCCTGTCGTTCTGAGAATGATGGCATCGACACCCATAATGGTGAACAAACCAAACAATCAATTTCTTAAAGATGAGGACCAGATGGTACCAATAGTCTCTGAGTATAAATGAAACTTTAACCACTGGAAGAATCCCATCTTCGGTCCAAACAACTATGCTCAATCTGTGAATCACTGGTGCGTCTGACCAAGACTGATTGTACATTCAAGGCATCTTTAGAGACATCCGACGTCGAGATTTACAGAATCAACTGCACCCAATATCATCAAATACAGATCGAAGTTCTCGCTACCATTATACATAGATCTGCATCCCATTAAAGGTCACGTCATAACCTTTCGCAAATTTGACCAATGAAATGACTAACCAGAAGTCGACATCAGCCAATCAGAAGGCAGCTTTCTCGAACTTTACGACATAAGCTTCAAACTGGCGTTTTCAATTCTAGACTACGTTTTGAAAAATACTAATTAAACATTTGAAAAGTAAACAAAAGAAAATGTTGGAATGTCTAAAGATGGTTGATAGTATGTGGCAGTACCTCCCAAGATCTGTTAATAGTCTCTTCCGTTTCAAGTGTTTATCACACTGAAGCGAGAGATAGGCGATAATCTTGACGCAGTTTCAGATTGTTGTTCGGAATTCCCCGTATTAACTTTTTCGTAATTGCATGATCAAAAAATACATTCGACTGTCACTTTAATGATCTGGTTGTCGACGAAAGTTGTTCTAACGTGACCCGCCGTAATAGGATGCCCTCAAATCTTCATTGACCCGTGAAGATCCGGTGTAGAATAGGGTTTCAGTAACCCATGCTTGCTGTAAAAGGCGACTATGCTTGCCGAAAGAGGCGACTAAAGGGATCGGGTGGTCAGGTTCGCTGACTTGGTTGATGCATGTCATCGATCCCAAATACGTGGATCGCTACTCATGATGTCAATCAGTGGATTGTCTGGTCTAGACTCGATTATTTAAGGACCGCCGTCATCTAGCTGGAATATTGCCGAGTGCTGCCCTGAACAACAAACATCTTTGTTTAGCGGTATCGAGAACTAAGATTTGATTTTAATGAGATTGAAGTACACCAGGATGACACAGCAGGGTGAGAGTTCAGAAGGCTGTGTCGTCGTATGACAGTACCTGTATGCTGCTGTGGCAAATGCGTTCACGATGCTCGGATCCTTGTCGGGCTGGTAGACGTTCCTGAAGCCGGATGACGCAAGTCTCAGATTGTAAGTGTCTATCCTGTTGCCAAGGACAACAGGCAGAAACTCGCCGTAGGTGATTTGCTGCATCATGGCACCAATAATTTTCCTTGTTTCCTGGAAAATTCTGTTGCTGTCCCAGTTCGTGTTAAGAGCCGTCAGATTGGTGGCAATGCGGTTGTGCTCTCTTAACCAGATTGTGTGCATGCTAGCCAACCCCATCTGTTCGTTGACCCTTTCATCACCTGCGTATAAACGTCGCGGTTATTTGCAATTCATATACATATAATATATTTCTCATCATTGTGTGGGTCATAAAAATATGCCTGTTGAGGATTTATAGGGCGATGGAGAATATTTGGTTATAACAGGTCAAAATCCGGTTTTTATATTGGCGAATGCGTCTGGATAGGGGTCGGAGAGTTATCTCTCTTGCCTGACCCATGCCACCATGTTTGAGGCTGCCAACCCCCTTTTGGTACGCGGGGTTCTTGGGTCTATTTAGAGCGTTTTCGGGACACAGCAGTGAGTACGCGGGACGCAAATGTAATTGTAATGGTGTACGTTACGATTTCCTTTATATATTGTATCTTTAACCATATTTTGTTCAGTAATCAGTAACTCAGACCCCTGGAATGACCCAGCAACGTATTCTATAGAAGTCGACTGTGATCGACATTCTGCCTTTGTAGAGTTAATTATGACTTGTGTTTTACAGATTTGTGTAAAGTAGAATTCAGGAAGACGGTTGACCTGGGATACTGGGAGTGAAAAATTAAATGGTATAAGAGGATTCAGGTGACGGGGGGTTGGCACCCTCACGCCCACTAACGACTTGAAGTAAATTACGTTTTCTACCTGCCGAAAGAACAATGTATACCAGCTTCTGACGAGAAGTTTCTCACAGTATTATGTGTATTTTGAGAACAAGTACTCAAATAATCTTTAACCCTTTAATCTTTATTTATAACCCACAAGCCAAAAGTGATGTGGGTCTCCGACGTTTACCATTTCTGTAAAACTACTGAGCACGGGTATGGTGCTGACAATCTAAAAACATAATCGGGGCGAACCGGGATTCGAACCCACGATCAAAGGCTTCTGGTGTGCCCAAGGAACGCAACTCTGTATAGCAAATTGTGGCGCCATCCTGGGCCACCCTTGCCCCGACGGTTAATCGAGCCTGTTAAGTCTCTGGCGTAGCGATTAAAATATATACGGTAAACTACGTTTATAACGAACTCGCTTATAACGAACTGAAGGATAAGACGAAATGTTTTTAGGTCCCGTCCATTTGCTGTATATATGTTGTAAATATGCTTATAACGAACTACGGTTATAACGAACTATTTTTAGTGGTCCCTTTGAGTTCGTTATAACCGTAGTTTACGGTATTTGACTACCGAAAGGTACACCTACCGGCTTTGAAGCAATAACTCCCATCTTCAGATAAACACACAGAGGTATCACTGTCCTTTGGGAGGAGAGTCGCATCTTGGGTCTTCATTAAGCCTGCAACAGCAACAGATAAACTGAATGACATGTCCATTTAAATTATATATACTCCAAAGCCAAAGAAAGTACACGCTTGAACTTTGAATTTGACCAAGACATTACAAACGTTATAAAACATTATTAGGCTTAAAACGGTGGTCGAAACACCACAAACTTAAAGTTCAAAATAACAACTATGATACCCGTATCAAACATCATCGTCGAACGAATATTTTGTTTGTTTCATTTTAGCCACCATCAAACATGGGTGAATCTCATAAAGCATTTTTAAATATTTCAACATGACTTAGTCTTTGACCGAGTTGCTGTTAGTTTGTTTGTTTGTATGTTTGTTTGTTGTTTAACGCCGCACTCAGCAATATTTCAGCTACATGACGGCGGTCTGTAAATAATCGAATCTGGACCAGACAATCCAGTAATTGACATCATGAGCACCGATCCAAGTAGTTGGGATCGATGACATGCATCAACCAAGTCAGCGAGCCTGACCACCCGATCCCCTTAGTCGCCTCTTACGACAAGCTTAGTCACCTCCCAGCTTACTGAGAAATTAAGGCTTAAGATATATGGTGAATTAATACAGGTCAAGGTCAACGTTTAGTCCTATGAACACGCCTGATAAGTTAAACATTTCCTCTGCCTTCTTAATCTGACATTTGTTGGGAACCAATACAGGCCTTAACCATGAATCGCCCTGGCTCTGAATGTCCACCAACTTTGTTGTTGTTTATTTAACTGCATATACTGACGTTAAACCCAACTCACCCACTCACTCACCTATACTGTCCCTGTGATTCAATAAATGTATAAAACTGTGTCAAGATGTCGACAAGCGCCCGTTCCCATTATTTCTGTGGTGATTCGTTGATACTGGGAGGGAGTGAGTGAGTTGGATTTAACGCCGCTTTGAACAGTATTCCAGTTATAACAAGGCGTTTCAACTTGATGTGGGAGGAATGTCCAAAGTAAGTTGTTGTAAACCCAGGAGCACGGTTTTTGTCCTGACTGACCTCGAAACATAATCGGGGCGAACCGGGATTCGAACCCTTCATCATAGGTCTCTGTCGTGCCCAAGCAACGCAACTCTCCACAGTCGTCCAAGGGGGGCACGGGTGGCCCAGTCGTCTGAGGCGCCGCGATTCGCTGTGCAGAGTTGCGTCCCTTGGACACGCCAGAAACCTATGATTGTGGGTTCGAATCACGGCTCGTCGTAATTATGTTTCTAGGTTCGTCAGCACCATACCAATACTCGTGGGTTTCACCGAAGTGGTAAACGTCTAAGACCTGCATCACATCGGACTCTCCTCCCACTTTAAGCTGACACGCCGTGATATAACTGTAATATTGTTAAAAGCGGCGTTAAACCCAACTCACCCACTCACCACAGTCGTCTAAGGCACCGGCCTTAGACGACTCGCCCACACGTGTCCCCGTTACGCTGATACAACCGTGACTAATTCCAGTGTAGGCAAGCATGCATTACACCCATCTGTCTGACAGTATCCCTCTGTTACTGACTAGTCGCAAGCTACCGTCATTCAGGTGTTCACTGTGGTGTAACACACAATCCCCAAATTCACCATTGATCCCCCTCAGTTCCTCCATCTCAGCCTCCGATGAGCTGTAGACGTTGGATGCGTCAATGTAGGCCGTTATCTGGTTCAGCTGCTCAGCGACACCTGAAGGAGAATTGTGAAATGAATGTGAGCTGAAATCTGATTGGTTAAAAAACGGGATTGGATGCCGGAAATGGTTTGTGCTTATCACTGCGCATGAATACTTTGCCCGATTAATATTTTTCTCAATCTTTACTGCGGCCTGGCGAAAATAAAACCACATCAATTGTATATAGTATGGACGTCTATAGTAGTGGTTTATTTCAGTAAATCGTTTGCACTTGTGGCGCAACATCTTTGAATGCTTGATTATATATACTACTCAAAAGAAGTTAAGGAACACCTGATTCTTTCATATTACTATAGTTAATCTCTCATGTCATGACAGATTAACTTTACCATTATGAAAGAATCGGGTGATCCTTAACTTCTTTTGAGTAGTATATATGTAAAATGGGCCTGTGGCCTGATTTACTGAAATAAACCACTACTACTACTTTATTATGGACGTCTGAGACACTCACCTCCATTACAGCCTGTGTTGGGGACTTGGATGGATCGCACAAAGTTCAGACAGGTCCTTGATGTGAAGTACGTGTCGTCGTCAGGAATAGTGATGGCGTCACACGTATTTCTGTAACACAAACACGTGATACCGTGAAATCCGGTTCATCCGGACCGTTCTCAGTAATATCGTCCGGATTAATGAATGAAAAGTCGGCATAATTACCGACGTTTCAAAAATCAACTTCAGCACCGTTTAATAACCATTTCTCGTTTGCTTCATTTTCAGCCATTATCAAACATCGGTGTACGCTTTCTTTTGTCCGGCAATGTAGTTAAGATATTATGCGTTTTGTTAAGTCTTGACAATATACAGTAAATTACGTTTATAACGAACTCTAGGATATAACGAACTATTTTTGAGCCCCGCACATTTGCTTGTATATATGCTGTATATATGCTTATAACGAACTCTGGTTAAAACGAATAAAATAAATGATCCCCTTGAGCACGTTATAACCGTAGTTTCCTGTAAATGACAAACGTGCAGGAGATTTCACAACTTGACATTCAGTCTTTTAGTGATCCTTTCATATAATTTTCTTACTAAATTTTACTTTTACGCCCTATGGAGTCTCGGCATATAATCGTGACATCATTATTCGAGATACAAAACTGCGGTTGGTATGTTTCAAATGTAATGCCAACAGTTCGGCAATTCGAGCGGGGAACCTAAGAAATGTACCTTACACGTTAGCGGGGCAAATTGAAAATAATAGTATGGGTCTCAGCCAATCAGAATAGACTCATGTGTCAGCTAAGATCAGGATGTGTGTGCTTAAACCCAGCAGAGAAAACGTATCCCACCAGAACTTTGCAGTATGTGAAAGGTATTAAGTACGTTTTGTTTATTTGTTTGTTTGTTTGTTGTTTAACGCCGCACTCAGCAATATTCCAGCTATATGAAGGCGGTATGTAAATAATCGAGTCTGAACCAGACAATCCAGTGATTGACATCTTGAGCATCGATCCGCGCAATTTGGATACGATGACATGCATCAATCAAGTCAGCGAGCCTGACCACCCGATCCCGACCACCCGATCCCATCAGTCGCCTCTTACGACAAGCATGGGTTGTATGGTATTCTACCCCGGATCGTCACGGGTCTATTAAGTACGTAAACTATATCGGTATATGTCATCACCCCTGTTTCGCAAAATATCGTTCCAGGACAGTCGTCAGTATCAGTATATATATTCGAATAACTCGGAAATCGATGTGTTGTATCGTCTCTCAAGTATCACAATATCGATTCGTTTCGATGTATCGTTACATCCGTATCATATGGTATCCTAAACTGGATTCTTACATGTCTGTGAAGAGGGTCCTGTCATTGGGCGCATCACTGGTGAATGCATCCTCACAACACACGTACTGACTGATTGAGCCATCCGCATCTGAAAAAACAAAGGCTCACATTATTAAAGTTTGAGAGAGAAAAACGAATTTACAATTTCAACCGACCTATCAAGATCTTTCTTTGTTAATCTTCAAAGTAAATACGTCCGCTCATAACAATTACTTTTAGTGTTTTGTACAAAGTTAAATATTGGAACTATTTTATTGAATATAAGCACAGGACGGGTAGATGCTTGTTTGACGGGTGAAGTGGGTGGATATTCACGATATTTTACCATTGTTCGTACCTTTGAAACTGGATATTGTTTCTATGCGCCATTATGGCACGTAACCATGTGAGACTGAGTTAGTGAGTGAGTGAGTGAGTGAGTGAGATGGGTTTAACGCCGCTTTAAACAGTATTCCAGTTATATCACGGGGTGTCAGCTTAATGTGGGAGGAAATCCCACTTAATGAAACCCAAGAGCACGGGTATGGTGCTGACAAACCTAGAAACATAATCGGGGCGAACCGCGATTCGAACCCACAATCATAGGTTTCTGGCGTGCCCAAGGGACGAAACTCTGCACAGCGAATCGCGGCGCCTTAGACGACTGGGCCACCCGTGTCTCCCCGCTCATGTGAGATTGAACCACGGAATAGAATTGTCGTAAATAAAGCGACAAAACCCTTTTCTTATTTAATAGAAATCTCTGCATAAATCATAGTCGATTGTACGATTCCGACTATATCATAAGTATGTGTTTATGAATTACTATCAAATAGTAATGATACCAGGTGTTCGCGAAAAGGTGAGCGTATCCTGCCCCACCAATGGCACTCGTCACAAACACATGCAAAGGCAAGTCAGTTGTTAAAAAAAACACGGGAACATGTGGTACAAGTAACGTAAGCAAAGAAACTTGTGTTTGAAATTAAGTTACTGGGTCGTCAAAGAGCAACCGTGTCCCGCTTCAACGGGTGGTCAATACACGTCAGCACTAGGAACATGACAACTTACTTTCCGCCTCCTGGAGGGGTGTTAGGGTGATGTCGTGGTCAAGGAACTGACCCCACTGCATGACAATGTGGGTCACTCCGGCATCTTCGGCCTGACTCGTGTCGTCTGAGTGCATGACCCTGCTCACTAAACGAGCGTTTGGCAGGTCTTTGCCGCTTTTTGCAAGTCTGGGAGTCGACGTGCCTGAAATATAAGCATATATAGAACAATAGCTAGTTCGTCACATCCAAAGTTCGTTATAATGTACCCGGTTCAGAATTGTGCTTTGTGAGTCATTTATTGGCTACATTAGACGTATATCAGATGTGATATCCGGAGTGGATTCAGTGAGTCAGTGATTGACAAGTCTAAGGGTGCTTAGCTGTGCAAAGAGATTTGTAATACTGAATACTGTTACAGTAAAAAGCCTTTTGCAAATAACAGTAAACATGTGTACAGTAAAGTACGGTTATAACGAACTCAAAGGGACTACTAATTTTAGTTCGTTATAACCGTAGTTCGTAATAAGCATATATACAGCATAACTACAGCAAATAGTCTGGACCAAAAAATTAAGTTCGTTATATCCGTCAGTTCGTTATAAGCGAGTTCGTTATAACCGTAGTTTACTGTAACTTAAAATTCAATGGAAAACTGTACATAGAATACACCGCGTAAACCAAACTGTCAATAAGGGCGGTTAGATGAGGCATAAGGATCATATCAAAATGTATTGGTATACAGGCAGACACTTATATACGAAAGCCTAATGGTGTCACTTTGGTAGCATAATTTTATTTTATTTCGTAATTTTCGCGGAACTTCAATATTTTTGTAACAATTGATATGTTTTATATTTAACATAACGTTATTTGAAATAACGATTGGTTTTGGTTTGGTTTGTTGTTTAACGCCGCACTCAGCAATATTCCAGCTTAATGACGGCGGTCTGTAAATAATCGAGTCTGGACCAGACAATCCAGTGGTTGACATCATGAGCATCGATCCACGCAACTGGGATCGATGACATGGATGAACCAAGTCAGCGAGCCGGACCACCCGATCCCGTTAGTCGCGTTAGACAAGGAGAGTTGCCTTTTAGCGTGGGTTGCTGAAGACCTAATCTACCCCGGATCTAAATGACGAGACAATGATCGAAATATACGAAAAACTATTCGCATGTAGAAAATAATCGAAGTAACGAGAAAAAAATCGAAATTTCGATTTTTAAAATTAAAATTAAAATAACGAGAAAATGAGCGAAATATACGAAAATAAAATCAAAGAAAAACTCAAAATTTCAAAAGTGACGCCTTTAGGTTTTCTTTCTTCGACTATGACATATATTGACGGACGGTGTATAACTCACCGTTTCCGTATTGAGGGGGTAGTAGTCTTCTCATTGGAATGAGCGCACTGCCCCAGCCGTGGTGTTCTTTGTTGTTACATGTGCCATCGGCAGTTCTGAATTTTGATGCCTCGACTTCAGACGGGCACTGTATATTGGGCCTACAGCTGCTCAGGTCTCTGCAATAAGTTGTTATGTATTACGGATGACGGAAAATATACAATGTAGATGACCACTGAAATACTCTCGCCATATCACAAGCCCCTGTAAATAATCGAGTCTGGGCCAGACAAACCAGTGCCTGAAAACAATGGGCAACGATCCACACCATCGAGATATTGATGACATACAATCTATGGAGTCACCGAGCCTGACCACCTCTTACGGTTAAATTGAGTGCTTGGCATATTTTAACCCTTGTCGCCAGGGGACAGAAACACAATAAGTATTTATATTTGAAGTAGTCACATCTATAGGACAAATATTTTCATTAGTAATTTCCCCTCCCCTTTTGAAAACCAAAAACCAAATGTGGTATGTGTAGGATTATCTGAGAGATTAATTTGATATTTTGGACCCCTCCCTTATGAAAATGCTGGATCCGCCCTAACAGACGTTACAAAGCCTCCACGTCTCCACCAAACGATTTTGACCTCAAGACCATAAAAATCCCATTAAATCCAGAACGTCAATTCGAGAGAATTGTCTCGACTATCTGCTGAAACAGATCCCATAGGGCGTAAAGAATCTTCTTCTTTTTTATAAATTTCAATCACCGGCCAAATGTTTCAGTGCAAACTCCATCAACCAAAAATGAAAGTACGTTGGGACTTACCCATTAGCAAATTGCTGCCCCAGCCGGAGAGCATCACGGGAACTCCTTCTGCCCCCGGTTTGAAGATTGCCGGTTCTCTGAGTTAAAACTATGAAAAGATACAGGAATGTAACACATGGCAAATTTGTAGTTGTCATTTGATTCAAGTCTTGTTTTTCATGAATTAAGATGGATTTGTTGATATGCTTTACAAGTAGTTTGCCACAAAAATATTTCTTTACAAAACATGGCGTTTCTTACATTTTTGTTCGCTATCATGTATTATGCTTTCTTCCAATTCTTTTTATATTCGCAGTACGATATTTTATTTATATTTATACGTGAAAAAAATATTAACGAGTCGTAATGATCATTCGTTCTGATCCTATCATGTTAGTGAGTGAGTGAGGATGGTTTACTCCAAATATAACAATATTCCAGCAATACCTCGGCGGGGGACACCAGAAATGGGCTTCACACATTGTACCCATGTCGGGAATCGAACCCGGGTTTTTTGGCGTGAAGAGCGAATGCTTAAACCACTAGGCTACCCGACCGTCCCTGATCCTAATATGTAAGTACGTCTGTGTTCCTATTCACTTATTCAGAAACTATGGTGTTAAGGGATCTTATCCGGACAAGAACATTCTCTAGTATAAGATCAGACGTGTCATCAGGTGATCAAGCAGGTCCGACAAGTGATCAGGTAACGCCTGCCAGCAATGTGCCAGCTACACCACAGTCATCTGTGTTTGTTCGAATCTGGATCAAGAAAACCCAGTGAGCAACTATCAACGCTTTCGATGACTGTGGCTGACAGAATTATCAGCTGTCAATGCCATCGATGACAGTGACTTGAAAGAATGTGTTTTTGTCAACGCCATCGATGACATTGACTGACAGAATACGCAACTAACTACGACATCGATGACAGTGACTGACAGATTGTGTAGCTGCTAACGCCATCGATGATTGTTTGATAGGCCTTACTTAGAAGTTGACGTATGACAACGTAGACACAATTTATGGATAACAACTTTTTTGATACTGTAAAGGCGACGTTTTGGTATAGATCCTTATATCGTTGTCAAGCAAGATCCTTATACCGTTGTCAAGCAAGGTCCTTATACCGTTGTCAAGCCATCAATGACATTGACTGACAGAATGTGCACCTAACAACGCCATCGATGACATTGACTGACAGAATGTGCACCTAACAACGTCATCGATGACAGTGACTGACAGAATGTGCACCTAACTACGCCATCGGTGACAGTGAATAACAGATTGATCAACTTTCAAACCACCCGTCAGTCGACTCTTACGAGAAGACTGTGAAACAGGTGAATGTCGGGCGAGTTCTACCCCCTCACTGGTTTTGTTATTGATTTTCTAAGAAATGTGTCATATGGGATGTTTAGATTAATCATATTTTATTCTCATGAAAAGGATAGGGCACAAGTTATCACAACTTAGAACGTCCTCTCCCATAAATTTACTTGTATGCTTATTTACAATTTATAAATTAAATGACAGAAAGGAAAGAAAAGAAACAGAGAAACGTATATACATTAGCATTGCTCACTCAAACCTTTTTGTTTTCCTTATATATGTATGTACATTCCTAAATATGCTTTCGTTCACATGATAAGGTAAAATTGCATTGCCATCTAGCATCAGGTTAATATTTACATCAAAAGTATGTTTCACAATTAACAATAGTGAGTGCATCAATTCGTTTCTAGCTAATTTAAATAAAGGACATTCAATGAAAAAATGATGTGAATTTTCACATGGGCTGCCACATCGGCATTTTGGATCCTCGTTTAAACCTTTTTTTAAATAAGTCATTTTATTAATTCACTGTCATCATATCTTAATTTTGTATGGATCAGTTACTTTTCCTTAGACCATATGAGAAATATGATGGGACTGCAGATTTATCTGTTCTTAAACTGGATTTAAATCGAGAGAAGGTGTCAATATTGGATGTTTCTGATTCAATTATGTATTTTGATATATTCTAATTTGAAAAGACATCAGGATAATCTCCATTTTACCATGAATGACGTTTCCACTAAAACAACACTTCATCTCTGGCGATCATACACGAATATTTTTTTAATTCGAAGTTTACACGATATACGGCTTTTCTATTGGACGAGAGGTCGGTCACATGACCGCGAAATTGACATTCATAAGTGTATGAGCGACACAACTTGACGTAATGCATTTTTCATGAGACCGTGTTCTAGAAATGACGTAAACACTGACGGACTACTTCCACATTCCTGGGGAAAACCCTGGGAATTCCCTAGCACGAATTCATACAGAAGCGTTCTTTTGGATCATTTAGACCCTTTATTCTTGAACTCAGCGTTTCAGTACACATTAAGAAACGTCAGAGAGTTTGAATGCATGATTGTTCACATATATCCTCGCTACGGCCTATCCTAATAAATAAACGGAGAAATGCACATCCAAACTATCGTAGTAGTATCGACTCGATTCGTGTCTAGGCTGACGGTGACCGTCTACAGCAATCTATGAATTTACCTTGGTGTCTGTTTGACACATTTTAATCACCTTTCAATGATCGGCCAGTTGATCAATGATGACAAACACTTGTAACCGCCACAGGTTCATTAACAACTTCGGAAATCTCTCCCGTCACGTTTATCGTATCGGCCATTTTGACGTCTTGTACTTGATGTAAATGTATTACGACGCGCTGTCATTGTGACTGACTTACTTAGGTGGTTCTTAACTGACCTTCCTAATCCAATGAGGATATTGTTTGAGTACATTTGTTCTAAAGAAACTACAAAGGTTGTCCCTGTTGAGCATGTTGAGCATACATGAGCGCATGTCACCTCTCGTTTTGAGGAACTATTTTATTACGCGATGCAGCTGGTTGTTGTATGGCTGTCAATGTTAACATGAAGTCACACATACTAAATATAATTGTGTATAGATCTAGGTCTACGTCCTTTGAGGTAAAACTGGTGATATAAAAAAATATAAGAATTGACTTTCACTTTGTGTGAGTTCATTGGAGAATGAACCTTCATAGAGTGAGGGCCAAAAACAATGTATGAACGTCGTCGTACTACTTCAATGAACTCACACTTAGAGAAAGGCAATTCTTAAATAATCATCACCAAAATTGAGAAGAGCCCCATGTAAGGGGTCACATTTCTAGGTAAAAAAAACCCAAAAGGAACATCAGCGAAAAATACGTAAATAATACTTAGAAAGCTTCCTAAATACCTTGATTTGCTAGAAGCACCAAGAGCGCCACTCGAATTAGCGCGTTCATCGTGTTGACCTGAAAATAGACACAAGTCATGCATTTGTTGAGACAGCTAAAAGAGGGGTAGACATTTTTGTACAAATTTAGAAAAAAATGTTGTACAAATTTAGCAATCTTGCACTTTAAAAACAATGTTTTTGAAATGTAAACACACAGAAGACATGTTTAGATCTACACATGTTCAGGAATGTGTTTGAATTCTGAACAGAATGCACATTTGGTATGTTCTATCTAAACACATTTAGGGTCTAAACACATGAAATGAGCTATCGTCTTACAGCCTAAACAACACATGAACACAACATACTTTAAACACGTTTCGAATTTAAACATGTTTACGACAAAATATCACTGTGTATTATCCTAATGAACTAAACATCTTTGTAATTTAAAGATGTTTAAATAAAGTGATATTATTTGACATTAAGTTAAAATTAGACCTTTCATCTTCTTAACACGTTTTTATACTAAACAAGTTTAGAACGTCTTGAGGCTAGTGCTTCGGATCGAAACACATCTTTACATTGATTTTCACAATTGAAGCAATCACGACATTGGTATAATTGCTCATGAAACTGATCACTGGATTGTCTGACCCAGAGTCGATTGTTTGCCGAACACATTAGTATGCCAGGTGGTTTTATTGGCACGGCGTCAGGCAACAGACCCTTCCATTCTGTGCAGGAGGGTGCTTCAGGCAGAGCAGGACATGCTTACCCTTTTCGCGAACACATGGTGGCATCGGTGATTTTAAGCAATCTATTCATACAATTTTCATCACTATTTGGCCTTTTACACTCTATAAAGTCTTTTTCGGCATATTTTCGAGACGGAAGTGTTCGAGTCTTTGAATATGATTTCCTCACAAACAAATGTCGTACCCAATTTAAAATTTTGAAATTTTGATTGAAACTTATGATATGACGAAGTTATCGATTAGTGTTTAGTCTGTTCGGGCAAATTAAATCAGTAGTTGACAGCGTGTTCAGCTATCCACCCGTCACAAACACATGCAAAAGCAAGTCAATCGCGTCAAACACAATGTCAGCAGATTTGATGTTTAAAGTTTATGAACAACTAATGGCTCAACTTGTCTGGGACTATTTTGTAAAAAAAAATGGTCAAACAAGAATGTATCAAGAAATAGAAACCGGAAACACCTACCTCACCGATCGTATTACACAGTCAAGCTGACGCTCCACATCAGCGATGTAAACTCAATTAAATGTACAAGGCAGATGTCGATCTTATATACCTTCAATTTAATCATAGCATGGTCTAGTGAGTCGATCGCAAATCGGATACGAGCGATACAGGTTAATGTAAGCCTGTTTACAAACACCCCGAGGTTGGCCATTTGTTGATCTTTTCTGACCACCATAACGGTCAATGCCTCCGTCCACTGTGGTCAGTCTTAGTGATTCATGAACACATGTTCTCTACTCGTACAATCTACTCTGCTTTTGGCAGAGATTTCTTATGAATATTGAAAGTGTTTTCTCGCTTTAATTTAGTTCAATGTCATAGAAAAAAAATTGTCCCCGAAAATGTTTTTAAAAAATATTTATGCTTTAGACTGTGAAAAAAGAAACCGTCTCCCACATAAATTGTAGGTGTTGTTTTTTTAAAGATAAAAAAGGCTGATTGTTTTAATGGAAACAAATCTGGTTTTGCAGCTATAGCTAAGAAATAACAAGTATATATACAAATCCCTCCCAAGTCCCGAATATTCGAATAGTCACTCCCTTATATCATACAGGGGTAAAACAATATACAAACACCATTAATAACTGTAGAAAATTTCATTTAAATTGGTGAATTAATGTGAATCCTTATTTCAACCAAAATGATGATTGTAACAAATGTTATATTTGGTACAACACTTTCTTTGTCTGGATCATGAACACCTGGTGTCGTAGCTAATTTTCAGTGATCCATTTATAATGTTCACCTCTATTTTGCCTTTTACGCTCAATGGAATCTGCTCCTGGCTTTGATGGTTAATATGTACTTTTAACTTATCAAGAGCTCTTACTCTGTTGTGTGTTGAACGTCACAAACTTATATTTATCCACGTCTTTTCATAACTTTTAAATATACAGTAAACTAGGGTTATAACGAACACGCTTATAACGAACTGACGGATATAGCGAACTTACTTTTTTGCTCCCGACTATTTGCTGTAGTTATGCTGTATATATGCTTATAACGAACTACGGTTATAACGAACTAAAATTAGTAGTCCCTTTGAGTTCGTTATAACCGTACTTTACTGAACTAGTATTATTAATAGTAATAAATGAATCGCACATACTCAAAATATGCTCAGTTCTGCAAATTGCTATATATGACATCAGACTAATTTAATTATGTAAAGGCAACAATGATATAGCCAGAAATGTGCTGACTACAGGATTAACACAAAAACAAACAAAACACGCTACACAAGCTGACATACGAACCTTGCTAGAAACGAAAGTGTTAGATTTCGAAAGCCTCTCTCAACTATATGTCCCAGCCTACACTGCGGACGCTCACCCGTATGTGGCATTCTTACATCGCCACAAAGTAAAGCGCTTTACTTACAGAATATAGGGTGGGAAGATCGTCCTACCATTTAGTATTATATGTTTTAAATAGCAAACTTACAGTGTTCATTCAGTCATTCAACTTAAATTATATCTCTGCAGGTCGTGACGGTGTAAACGTGCATGGTTCATGCACCCTATATCTGGTTCGCTGCATACCTTTGCACTATCGTCATGTGACTCAATTAGCTAGAGCATCATTCAACCTGGGACAAGTACGTATATGACATACACAAATTTTCACCCGTATCAGTAAGTCAGTTTTTGCTTTCTCGGAAATGAAATAAATAAGTAGTTAATTCGAAAATCATCCCTGCTTTCGATATTTGTCTTGATTTTAAGAAGGTGACGTTGTTTGATGTAATATGTACAATCAACTCTGCCTGTAGCCATTTCTTGTGACAATGGACCGGGCTTTGTCACTGAGCTAAGCCCGAGCCTGTTCCTACAGGTGTCGTGATGTAAGTTCCTTTCCTGGATTCAATATTGTTGTGAGGCATCCACGTATTATGTGATTAGATTTAAAAGATTCTTGATCAAACGTTGTTTGATCAAGGTTGCAAGATTCAAGGTCTCGGTTAAACTTTCAAAACGTTTTATGGTAGACCTGTAGATGGCATTTCCAAATTTGACGCATCAGTGACAAAAATGATGTTATGATCATGGAAACGTTTTGTCGTTCTTATAATAATTAAATTCAGCTACATGATGCAGAGCTCCAGATAAGCTGCGTATGTGCGTATAATACGCATCAGAAATGCAGAAATACGCAGTAAAATAAAATCCAAGCGTATCAAATACGCAACGAACATTACAGATACGCTACAAAAATAAAACTTGTGCGTATCATCAAAATATTGTGAAGAAACCCTGCGTATTCGATTAGCAAATCAGCAACATATTTTGAAATGATAAACGGGCATTCCGTCAACCTTGTTAAACTCCACGATGACAGTTACAGCATGATCATTTGCCATCACACTTTCTTGTGGAAGTATCGTGGTATTTTTGAGTCCTATAAAGCTCTCGAACCCACACGACACCAGTTTGCAGGGACTAGATGAATAGTGTTTTTAATATTTAACTTAAATACCCTCATGTGTAAAAACTAGTGGGTAACAGAAATTTGAATACCCAGATAGAACTACTGATACCCAATGATTTTAAAATACATGGGTAAAATACCCACAGCACCAAAAGCTTATCTGGAGCTCTGTGACAGTCTCGGACACCTTAAATTAATTTATTCAGATTTATTTGCCTTCCCATAAACCCAAATTGTAATCAATAGGGCTCAGAGATGTGGTGTTTTCACAACACTTTGTAAACAATTTTGAGGCGGTAGTGTAGCCTAGTGGTTAAAGCGTTCGAAATGGTCACGCCGAAGACCCGGGTTCGATTCCCGACATAGGTAAGTGTGAAGCCCACTTCTGGTGTCCCCCGCCGTGACGTTGCTGGAATAATGCTAAAAGCGGCGTAAAATTAAACTTACTCACTCACTAAAACAATTTGATTGTGTATATTTCGTATTTTCTATAATTCGTCGTATACTTTCTTTAAAGATTAAGTCGGTTGTATAGCGTACACCAGTTAGAAATCTGGTATATAAACAAGTGAGACTTATGAGTTCGTTTCGAGTTTACTTGGACCCGAGGGAAGGATAATTGAATTCCAGCTGTTACTGACGTTGGCCTTGTTGGCACGATAAATCCTACTGTGTACGTCACGAACACATGTTATTTTATCATGTGAAATCAGCTGGAAATATCTAACCACCACAACAATGATAACTACAAAGATAAAAATCACGGAGCGATGAAAACTTCACGTGACTAAATGCGCCATTTGGACAAACAGGTTTCAAAACGGCTCTGTTACCTGGGGATGGCCGTTTCGTGTTAAACAGAGCTATTGAGAGTTCGCAACACGCTACAGCTTGTCAACAAACGCGTTGGCGTTGGCGACACCCGTGATTAACCACGGGTGAGGTTGTGAACTGGTATATATATATATATATATATATATATATATATATATATATATATATATATATATATATATATATATTATTGAATGACGGTGGAAGCTTTTATGCACGTCACAAATTGTTGTACAGGGTCAAGGTCGGGTTGCGAGGTCAAAATTTCGACATGCGAATACGTCTATACGTGATATAGAGTCGATGTGAACATGATGCTTAGATCGACGTAGAGTAAATTCTCTTTTAGCATCCAATACTTGTCTCAACTGATATAAATGTTCAAACGAGTATGGTGCTGACAAACCTAGAAACATAATCGGGGCGAACAGGGACTCGAACCCACAATCATAGGTTTCTGGCGTGCCCAAGGGACGCAACTCTGCACAGCGAATCGCGGCGCCTTAGACGACTGGGCCACCCGTACAAGCTCATTGAATATGCATGTACTTAGGTTGCAGTATTTCTAATAAAAATAAACAGAATAAACAACAGAGAAGGCTACCAATATGGTTGCATCATTTCGGTTCAGCATTTACAGATAGTTAGTCACAAGCAGATAATTCGCTTGAATTGTTTTATATTTTAATATATTTGGTTAAAACATAAAATAGTTTCGATTTGCAAGTCGATAGATAAACACATATTGCGTATTCTACCGTAGAAATGGTACCTTACACGATCGCGAACTTGTCGCGATCCGGCCGCGTTGCTTTTAGTATCACTCGTACAGTAATGTTACTAGGTACAGCGTTAAACATTACAAAAAAAATATTCTAATGTCAAATCTGTAGTTTTTTTAAGAATATGAGAATATATAATCAGCCGAGGATTTTATCGGGGGAAAATAAATCAACCCTGAAAATGCTTTGAACAAATAATTATGCTTCAGATTGTTGAATAAATAGTAATTTTTATGCCACAAAAAATACATTTTTGTAAGAAGGATTTTTTTAATAATGTCTAGGTTCATATCTGTAGCTGAAAAAAATATGCAGTCTCCTTTCGGGATCCCAGACTCCCCCCATCCGCCCATCCCTCCCCTCTAGTTCTATTCAGCCACACATGGTACACAGTGCCCACACTGAGAGTCTGATCAAATCAGCTGGGGAGCCTTATCCGGGCCTGTGAAATTAAGTATATATAACAATACCAATCTGTCACGGTTATCAAATTGAAAGTAACAGGGTGATAGATGCAGATGAGTTATAGCCCTGAACGATCAATAAAGTTCAGGTTATTAACTTCTACAGAAGATAGGATTGGTCACGCATCTTCGGTATTATCTAAACGACATACGCGAAGTTAATAAATGTTGAATAGTCAACCTTGCAATATTCGATACATCATATAATGATTTACTCATGATATGAAATGATATGCTATATTTATTACCCCACTGCTGACACATGGAACTATTATCATATACTCTCAGTTCTACAATGCAAAATGATCAGGGGATACATTAAGAATATATCAATAATATATTAATATATTATAATTAAAAATTAATAAATATCTTATATGTATTCTTTAGCATATTCTTTATTTTTATGTTTTAAGGTAAAAGTTTACTTGCCTTTGCATGTGTTTTTACGAGTGGCACCGGTGGGTCAGGATACACTCACCTTTTCGCGAACACCTGGTATCACCACTCATTGGTGGCAATTCATAGACAC